CGTAGTAACCATGGATACAAGTAGTTACGATTGCGAAATTGTTTATAAACAAGGTCGTCTTAATTCTACAGCTGTACACAACGTAATCTATAAGAGTCAAAGTTTAATCAAAGTTTAAAGTGAGTTATTATACTCTACATTTTATGTCTCTTTTTGGTTTCTCTCAAACAACCTTAACGGTTATAGGTACGTGATTCAAGTCTGAGTAATTTAAGGAACTAACTAAAATCTTAAGAGTCAATGCCTTATTTACTACTCCTTATCAGCCACGAACGAATAGAACTCTAAAACGCTCACATGTTACTTTTAAAAAAATATTAAAATCCTTTGTTACTGAAAACAAAAACGACTGTCAGTATTGTTTATTTACCGCATTATTATCTTATAGTACCACTCCTCATTGCACCACTAATTTCACGCTTCGTGAATAATTATATAGTTATAAACCTAACATTCCTAATGTTCTATATGAAACAAATAATAATACCATTTATAATAAAAATATTCGAGCTTTACAATATCGAATGCGTTTTAGAAGTCACTATTAATTATATTTTGAACAAGGCCATTCCAAATATAATTAATAGTAAAGAAAAACCTAAACAATATTATGATGCTAGTTCACGCAAAATTCCTTATAAAATTGGTAACTTAGTGTATACAAAATACCATCACCGGCTCCGTAAGGCTCTATCACCTACATGGAAAGTCCATATAAAATTATAAAAGTACAGAATAAGTATAATCTAACTTTACAAATAGGTCGTAAATTTGTTAAGCATCATACAAACGTATTTAAGCCTGCTATTTACACTCCTTAAATTTAACTCATTTTATATATTTTTCAGATCCTTATGTTATGGAATCCAAAGCCACGCTGAATCGAGGATAATTCCTATATCACATAGTCCTTGAATTTATTTTGAACCTATTACGCATATTAATTTTTATAATAATAATAAATAATAAATCATTTATTTGCAAGAAATATGGTTGTTACACAAGATGTTAAATTAATTATAGCACAGGACATATTTCACCCTCATTACGGGCATGCAAAATCATAGTAAATTATAACGATTATTGAAAAGTTACAACACTTATAGACCTTATATATTGAGATCCTGATCTCAATAAAATTAAATATTTATTATAATTATGATAACATAAACCTTTGTTCCAAAATAAATACTGACGAATTTTTCCAATGTAACGATTTTACAAATCGTATAGAGATTTTAATAAAATATAATTACGTCAACTGCAATCCTTACCACATATAATCAATAATAACCTATCGCTCAATCAATTAAAATATCTCAAGAATGTGGAGGCAAAATTCTTGGTTTTTTTTTTCGGTATTCTATACGCAGATGATGCGAGAAAATATGATGCCGCGATAGAAAGCTCTATAAAGATAGCAGTGAAAAGTCAGCAGAAACCTTAAAATTTTATCCAGGAATTTGTAGCTAATTTGTTGCTAATTAGTTGCCAAATTCGCGATTTTGTTGCTATAATCGGTTTTTTATTACCTTTTTTATTATTGGTGTCGCTTATCGATTGATTTTATTTTGTTTGCTGGCTCTAATATTTTTTCCATATGTTGATTTAAAATCTGACTTTACATTATACAATCATCTAGATAAACATAGCAGTGTGGACCTTGCAATCCTGATAAAACGGTATTCATGAACCGCTAGATAGAAGAAGGGGCGTTTTTTAGCCCAAAAGGTATTCTAGTAAATTCGCAGTGACATATTCGAATTAGTACTTATAATAAATCGGATTTTTGGGGCATCCTTTCTTAGCATCCATTTTTATCTGGTGGAAACTTTCTATAATCCTGTCATGCGCTGATGGCTAGTCTCCGTTGAGACTAGCCGCCGTGACCGAAATTCGGTCTGGAAGACATTATTTTTGTTTAATAGATTCCTGATGCCATCGTAGCTTTGGGGTAAGCACTAATTTTTAAATATCATAGAAGTCTAGAAAAGTAAGTTCAATCTCTAAAGTAGTTTTATTTGTTGATTTACTAACTTCTCGGCGTTAAAAGAATATATGCAACTTAATTGAGGGAACCTACATCTCTTAGAAATATAAACAAAAGTCTAACCCTCTTAGTAAAGGGGGAGGCCTATGCCCACCTGTGGTACATATAAGTAGGCAGAGACTTCTGCCCTGATACGGAAGAAGGCGGCTAAGTGCATTTTGTTGATTTTGAGCTTTCAGCTCCACTAAACTAAGCAAAAAATTCTCTATCGGCCAATATTGGAATTATATTTTTACGTTTGATAATTCCAGAGATAGATTAAGCATTTTGGCGGTCAAGTGCAAAATTTTCTTGATCAGAGACGTCGATGTGAACTCGCCCCTATGATTTACTGTAACTCCGTAAATAGCACTAGCGTAACTTTTCGGACGGATCGCAAAATCCATGGAACACGTAATGATTCTTGTCGCCTAAGTATCTCGTGATCTTGATCTGGTCTATGTTTTAAAAATCACGCTTCAGCTTTATCCAATTGTGGGTTATATTTTCAGACTGACTTATCAGAGATTTCTCAATATTGGGTGCTCGAAGAGATCAGTGACGCAGTTGCTGAATTGACACCAGACGAATAGTATTGTGAGCAATTCTACCAGTCCACAACAAGACGACTACCTAACGGAAGATACGAGGTTGCTCTCCCGATGAGACCTAGGTTCGAACATAATCTAGGTGAATCTAAATCAAGGTCAATTGCACAATTCTACAACTTGGTAAAAAGATGTATCCCATAGGATCATATACCTTTGAGATGTTTGATTAAAGCTGTCGTTTCGTTATGACGTCATTACTGGTCTCATTTTCGAATATGTTCTTGAACACGAATACGTTAGATGAGGGAATCTAGCGTAGGCCCAAGGTCTTCCGGTTTTCTAAGCTTTTGAAGTCAAGCGGTGTCCAGTTCATCTGCTGACATATCTTCAATCAGTTCCTTTGCATTACTGGACCATTTGCGAATATTCATTCCGATGCCCTTCAATATATCTCTTTGTAACTGTTTCGCTTGAGAGATATCATTACAGCCTTCAAGAAGGTCATCCATGTATAGTGACATCATTAGCGCAGTAGCAGCCAAGGGAAACTTGTGCGCGTCATCTATAGCTAGTTGCTTTAAAGTTTGCATTGCGAGATAGGGGGCCGCCTTCGTACTGCCACCATAGGTGACTGTTGTTAGTTGGTACTCCTTCAGGGGCTCTTCTGGTGTGCTCCTCCAAATAATGCGTTGTAGGTGTTGATCAGGTTCTCGAATCATTATTTGGCGATACATCTTCTCGATGTCTGCAGTTATGACGCATTTGTGTAGACTCCATTTTAAGATGAGATGTTGTAAGTCCTTCTGTAGGTTAGGACCACTCTCCATTAAATCATTGAGGCTGTGTCCACTAGATGTTTTTGATGCACCATTGAAAACTGTTCGATGCCTTGTAGTGAAATCAGTTTTCTCAACACCGTGATGCGGGAGATAGTTCACGATTGCACTGTGTTGTGTAACCGGAGACATATGACCTTGTTGCTCGTAATCTCTCATAAATTTTTGTGGCTTTCAGCAAAGACTTCATTTATTGACATCTTTTTTCCAAGTTGTAGAATTGTGCAATTGACCTTGATTTAGATTCACTTAGATCATGTTCGAACCCAGGTCTCATCGGGAGAGCAACCTCGTATCTTCCGTTAGGTAGTCGTCTTGTTGTGGACTGGTACAATTGGTCACAATACTGTTCGTCTGGTGTCAATTCAGCAACTGCGTCACTGATCTCTTCGAGCTCCCAATATTGAGAAATCTCTGATAAGCACGTCTGTAAACATAACCCACAAGTGAATAAAGCTGAAGCGTGATTTTTAAAACATAGATCAGATCAAGATCACGAGATACTTAGGCGACAAGAATCATTACGTGTTCCATGGATTATGCGATCCGTCCGAAAAGGTTTACGCTAGTGCTATTTACAGAGTTACAGTAAATCATAGGGGCGAGTTCACATCGACGCCTGTGATCGCTAAAACAAGGTTGGCACCTTTGAAGAACAAGCTCACATTGCCTTAACTGAGCTTTTTGGCGCGTTACTGCTATCACGACTTATGAAAAAAAATCACGGACGTTATGCCAAAAAACGTGCAGTCATACGCATGGACTGATTCTATAGTAGTTCTTGGTTCGTTAAATGGTGATGTTAATAGATGGAAACAGTCTGTTGCCAAAAGAGTACGTACAATACTCAACGTTATCCCATCATCATCTTGGCACCATGTTCGATCTGAAGATAACTCTGCGGATTGCGCTACAAGAGGACTGTAATCACCAAGCTTGACTTTGTCTTACATACGGGAAAATTACTGGATTCTCAGTACGCTTCGCACAGTGATGAGAGAACTTCGCAAGTGTGTCACATGTCGACGTTTCAAAGAAGAGAAACGAACTCAGATTATGGCTGATCTACCAGAGCCTCGAGTCACACCATCGCGTGTTTTCTCCCACTGTGGCATCGACTTCACAGGAGCCTTTGACATCAAAGCAAGCAAGGGTCGTGGAGTGCAAACACACAAGGGCTACGTCGCAATGTTTGTTTGCCTCGCGACAAAGGCTGTTCATCTCGAGCTCGTGTCTGATCTTAGTAAACCTAGCAGCATTTCGACGTTTTTGCGCCAGAAGATCCATCCCCAAATATATATACAGCGATCAAGGACGTAACTTTATCGGAGCATCCAAGGACTTGAAGAAAGAATACAAAGATATCCTTGCAACCATCAATGAAGAGCTCCTGAGCAAGATCGATGACTATGACATACAATGGCACTTTAATGCGCCAGCCTAACCGTCAGCAGATTGGCTGTGGGAGGCTGCCATCAAAAGTTTAAAACACCATCTACGTCGGTGATAGGTGAGTAAAAACTCACGTACGAAGAGTTTATCACACTACTTCACCAGATAGAGGCGTGCCTCAACTCTCGACCTATGATCACCCTGACCGAAAATCCAGATGATGAATACTTAACACCTGGACACTTTCTCGTTGAAGGATCACTAATATCAATACCACAAACGGATCCGGATCACAAGAACTTGAAAACCAGATGGCAGATGATCCAAGACATGAACAAACAGTTCTGGAAAAAGTGGTCATCGGACTACTTACAACAGTTGCAAGTTCGTACAAAGTGGAGAACACCATCAAAAAATATTGAGGTCAACAACATTGTCCTTATCAAGGACGAAAACTTGCCCGCCGGCAAGTGGTCAATGGGTAAAGTCGTCGCCTTTCACCCTGGCAAGGACGGATACGTACGTGTGGTGTCCGTCAAAACTAAGAATGGAGTTATGCAGTGGCTGATTTAAAATTAACATTTATACCTTTGAAAGACGAACACACTGAACAACAAACAGGTGACATTCAATTATCGACTTGTGATGACGTCACATCGGCCGTCGTCAGTTCTTCTACCGTAAAAAATTGTGAGATCCATGTAATACCAAGCCGGTTAATTTATTCAGTCCCTACTTAAGGGTCCTTCTGTCTCAAGTTATTACGTAATTAGCTAACCTAACAACATCTTATAGTGACCATATCAACATTAAAAATCTTTTTGTTGTAGTCCTACTCCTTTTTCCTTTCCGGTACCACCGGTACTTCTTAAATACCAACTACGGATTTTCGGGCAATTTAGTCTACTTAATACATTGCGGGATTTTGGTACTTCATAAGACATGTCCCATTCTTGCTTTTTCATTCCGTTGACCATTTTACAAGTTACCTTTGAACATAATTATATCAAGGTACCTATCTACATCTATTATTCCATTATATTATATACAGGTTCACTGATTCATTCACTGCAAATGTATCTTTGTAAGCCTATATATTAATATAGAAATACAAAGTTATTTATGCAGTTGGTGTATCTAGAAAACTGGACCGAAATTACAAAATATTTTAGTTTTTCCTTGATTTATACACTAAACACTAATTGTGTTCTAAATTTGAAGCTTTTACGTTTGCTAGAAGTGCCTAAGCCCTGAATTCCTCCTACGCTGACGTCGGTTGCGTAAGGTCGGTCGCGTACGCGTACGTAGCAAAACATAGCAAACTACGCCCGCTGTCGTCAGCGTCGTAGTGTGGGGGCTATAAAGAACACAATGTAACACATTAGTACGCGCGACCGACGTACGCGACCGACGTCAGCGTAGGAGGAATTCAGGCCTGAGTTGTGATGATCCGTCAGTCAGTGAGTGACAAAATTAAGAAATTTTGACTAGTTATAATTCTTAAACTACTGGTTCAAATTAAATGAAACTTAAAATATATCATGCTTATACAATTCATGCTTGGTTACTGAAAATTCAGGCTTCTAGTTTTATCCACGACGAAGTTATAGGGGGTCGAAAATGGCCTGAACTACTTCGAGAAAAGGATGGTACGGCCGTGTCACTTTTTTACTTTGTTTTCTTTATTTAGATTGTTATATTCTTGTTGTTGTGTACTTACTTCTTAGTTTCCCTCTTTTTGGCCGGCAGGATGTACGGGTTACCGCACAATAGTTAATAAAATATGTATTACTTACTCATCAAGTTAGCTCACATAGAAACAGTATTAATTGTTAATTACGCACACATGTATAACTTCCGTACTTCTGCTTATATATCATTTTTATAATAATTATATAACTATATAAAGTACAATATTCCTTTATAATAAAATCAGTGTTAGAATGACTTTCATTGGGTTTGTTTCGTACATTAACTTTCCCTTACATCTCGTTTTGCACTCATCTTGTAAACTGTAGACACACCACGAGCATCTCAAAACTTATTGAGTGACCTACGTATAAATTATATCCCGCGATTGGCTTTCACACTGTGAGATATATCTTTTTTCTAGCACTAGAAAAGCAAAAAATAGAATTCGATTTCGGTGCAGCGGGGTGGGACGGCGCGCGTGACCTACGCCGCCTGCTCGCTGACAAAGGGATATCTCTTTCCTTCAATAGTATTGCTTAATCGTTATGCTTCCTCTACACTACTCGCGAAGTAAGTTCGACGAAGTGCTCGTCGAAGTCGATCGCAGTACGAACACACTCGTGCTACTTCGCGAAATGCTCAGTCGTCTTGAGTCTCCCGCACCCTACATGAATGACGTTCAAGAGGCAGCTGGTATAGGTACTTAACTGTGTGAACAGTACGACGTCAATGCGTTAACTAAATAAATAATTATGTAGAAAACTATATATTTAATATTAATATATAAAAAAATATTCATAACTGGCGTACGCCGAGTAGTGTAGTGGGACGCTTCGTGTAACTTTGGGGTACTTCATGAAATCCTTTGACTCTGGCGCAAAAAACCGACAGCGATCGGAAGTCGCTCGAGGCGAAGCGAGGTCGGACGAAGTGAATCGAAGTACCTCTCTACACTATTCGCCTCGTCCAACTTCGATCTACTTCGCGAGTAGTGTAGTGGAGGCATTCCCCTACACTACTCGCGAAGTAACTTCGACGAAGTGCTCGTCGAAGTCGATAGCAGTATTGATGATTATAATGATTATAATTCTGTAAATACATACTCGTTACGGTCGCGAATCATATTTTGTTAAACATACAACCTGACACTGACCTGCAAATTGCAAAAAACGTATGAAAATTTGAATTTCGTGTGCTACCCTGGCATTTCCACCTTATTTGGCGTGGTTTTAAATGTTATTTAGCTAGGAGTAATAGCACAGATATAATAATAGGAGATATGCACGGTAGTTGAAAATGTATCGGAACCCGGTGTCTCCAGTTGGCCCCTACCACCCGCCTACTACTACACTTGCAGATCAGTAAAAGCAATATATACGCAATCGCGCACGCACTCGCATTTTATAAATCAGAACGTACTACACAATCAATTATAAACCGTATCCCTACAAACACAGCGTGTATTTACTATGCACCGTACTACTTACACAAAAATATCAGGCGCTATCGTTGTGCTGCGCAAAAGCCATTTTTTACATATACATTAGTGATTGACTAAATTGGAAAGTTATCGATTCTCTTCCATTTATACTAATATTGCACTAAAATTGAAAATAAAATAAATAAAAAACGATATGCACAGGAAATTATATAATAAAAGTAAGCAATATGTAGCTAAACGTAAATTATTAAGTACCTAACCTACCAAACAAATACAATTAAAAAATCCGGTTATGTTGGTTTACATTGTCATAGCGTATTGAAAAAGTAGGTATTTTGGTGTATGGTACTAGTTTTTGTAGGGAACCAGTTTGGTGGCCTTCCTGTGGCATCAATTCATTTCTTTTTTAAATTAGCATCTTTTGGGAAGCTGAAAATGTACAATTATAATTTATTTATCATTTACATGTATCCTACGCAACTTCTTAACCTCACCATGTACCTGGAAAGCTTTTGTTAAAAAACACCTGGTTGGTCAAGATATTGTTAAATATATGAAAACAAACACACACTCATGCATAACAAATAAATAGCCAGGAGAATTATGTTTACTTATTTTTAGCAAAAGTCACTATTATAATATTATCTAAATTCTGAACCATGCCAATTAGGTATAATAACGCATTCGAGGCTTTTGAAAACATAAAAGTATGGAATTAGCACGAAGATAAGACATAATATACTATAATTCAAACCAAAACTCTTCACCGATGATTAACCCAATTATTTAAGCAACTTACTTTATGATCGCTAGTTACGAATTTAGTGTAGTAAACGGTGAAAATAAATAAAATAATTAAATACCATTATGTCACATCAGTCTTCCCACCGGGCTGAAACGGTTGACAAATTGAAAGAATAAACTATAATAGCAATTCGCCAATCGACATCATACGTTGTCGATAGCATACGTTAGTGAATCTGCACAAAGCACAACACTAACTCATCGTAAGATACAGTGGCCGTACTACATGATGCATCCGCATAAATAAAGTATCGTTTTGTCATATTTACATTGCTTGTTCAGTCGCTTAGCGACATACATAAGTAGTGGTTAAGGAACAATGTATTTACTACAAAATAGTACCGTAACAAAAAATATTTTACAATTTGTTGTTTTTCATGATTTTAAAGATAAAGATAGTAAAATACTTGTTCTTACTTGTAAAATACTAGTAAAATTCTTGGTAAGTGATTCCATGATCTACAAAAATTTTGTTTTGGATTCGGTTTTTACAAGAAACCACTGAATAACACGGCATTCTGATATTGTTTCACGATTACGGTTGAAAGAATACTAATACGCAGAGACGGCCGTTTGAATAGAACCTGAGCATTTTGATCATAGCGTGCGGACACAGACACGCCCCCTTGCCACTTCTCCTCTATTTAATATTTCAATGAGTAAGAGTGTTCTGTGTTATTTAAAGTTCTGTGGATCTGGGGTGTTGATCTGTGCACAAACTAATAAGAAGTGGTTCTGTGCCAGTGCGTAGTGCTCACCTAGCCTAAATGTATATTCTGTGCTCATGTAACTGATGACAAAAAATCAGGTTCAGAAGGGCTAGAACCCAGAGCCGTAAAGCCAGTTAAAAAATTACAAAAAATACTTTATTTTTGCAGCTGTTATTACATATATGTAACATATTAGCTGAAAACTGAAATCAAAGTGCCTGAGTGTCTTTAAATATAATCACTACTAGCTGAAATGTGATCAAACGTCTGGGGCTTGCGACCTAATCCTAAAATAGAGAAATTAGGTCAATCAAGACTAAATTAATTGAGAATTTCATTTTATAAAAATTATAAGCTGTTAGCAATTGATGAAAAAATGGGTGGTCGTAACAAATTTCAAGACATTACCCATAATTTAAGAAAATTCATAAGATTTACTTATTTAAAAGAACTGGTTCTGAACCCCTCAAAGTTACCATTCACCGCATTTGTCATTATCGTTGCTGAATTAATCCTCAACATTCTGATTGTAGAAAAAGTGCCCTATACAGAAATAGACTGGAAAGCATATATGCAAGAATGTGAAGGATTTCTAAATGGCACCCTTGACTATAGCAAACTACGTGGTGATACAGGTCCACTAGTCTACCCAGCAGGTTTTGTATATATATATTCCATATTTTATTTCTTAACAAATCAGGGAAATAACATAAGACTTGCTCAATATATATTTATAGGTATCTACTTGTTACAACTGTATTTTGTACTCAGAATTTATATTAAAACTAATAAAGTTCCACCATATGTTCTTTTGATTACAATTTTAACTTCTTATAGAATACATTCAATTCATGTTTTAAGGTTATTTAATGATCCAATTGCTGTTCTCTTTCTGTACATATCACTTAATTACTTTTTAGAATCGAAATGGTCTTTAGGTAGCATTTTTTACAGCTTAGGTGTTTCTATCAAAATGAATATACTTCTGTATGCACCAGCTTTATTCTTCTTTTATTTGATAAATTTGGGTTTGAAAGAAACGGTTAAGCAAATTTTTTTGTGTGGTATCATACAGATATTTTTAGGATTACCATTTTTATTAGTAGCACCGGTTTCTTATTTGAGAGGAAGTTTTGATTTAGGCCGTGTGTTCAATCACACTTGGACAGTTAATTATAGATTTCTTGATGTTAAGATTTTTGAAAATCCATATTTCCATCTAACTTTATTTAGCATCCACATTTTATTGCTAATAATATTTTTACCAATGTGTGTTAAATATTTCAAAAGTTACTGTAGATTGGAATATGTGCAGAAGCAGGTTCAACCACAAATAGATGCCAAAAATATTGAAACTAAAAAGAGATTCAGAGGTAAAAAAGATAACAAAATAAAACTCCAAGAAAATAATGAGGAAAAGCTAACAAAAGACCAAGAGCAATTCTTAAATTCTTTTCAAACTATCCTACAAAAGGCCTCAAATAAAAATGGAAAGAAAAAGAAAGTTTTGAATGAACAAGATGATGATGTCCACTATAGCATTAACTTTGATGTTATATCACAACTATTTATTTTACCTATGTTTCTAATAAACTTTATTGGTATTGTTTGTGCTAGGAGTCTCCATTATCAATTCTATTCATGGTATTTTCATAGCTTGCCTTATCTATTATGGTCTACAAATATTTCAGTTGTTGTTAGATTTTTAATTCTAGCTTTAATTGAATTTTGTTGGAATACCTACCCAAGTACTAACTTTACAAGTGTAATGTTACATATTTGTCATGTAACTATTCTTTACAATATTTATAAAAAGACATCAGCAGAGTTAAACATGGTATCTAAAATGAATTAATAAGAAATTTTATGCAGATAATTGTAAATATAGTCTAGATAAACCCCAAACCATAATTGAATTTAGAAGCATAATTCTATTAAAAAAAAATCAAATTGTTTTACAAAATAAGTTTAAAAATAATGTAACCTTTGTATAATATTTGATATAGTATGTGCTATAAGGTTTTATCATGCTTTAAACCTTGAGATGTTCTTATTTTAGTTTCCAATATTTATGTATTTATATTATAATGATATATATACCTAAATTGAATAAATTTTTTTACATTGTTTATACCTTAGTATTATTTTTATATTCACATTTGATTTTCAATTTTTTATTCCATTAGTGCAGTGAGTTCACCTGATGGTAAGTGGTTACTGCTAGACATGTTCTTCTGCCTACAACCCACTTTAAGGTAGGCCTGTGCCCAGCCATGAGCCATAATTTGCATATTATTATGTAGGTGTTTATTTACTTTTATTGTTACCTCTGCTTTTGGATTACAATTTACAGGTGAGTGCATACATGGGTGTCTTCTTACGTCACTCTAATAAAACTAGGCATTTATAAACTTTTGGTACAAATCTATTCAGTGTGGCGTAACGAAAAGAACATTATCACTCCAGTGTGGGGCGTTGTAAATGCCGACTCTTACTGCACTACGAAACGGACTCCCCTGAGTCCGATACGCGGCCATGGGGCCACTTGGATTCCAAGTTTTTGAAGCACTAGCTTTTCCGAACCCAGCTGTGGATCTGGTCTATGGCTACGCCGCCAACTAAGATTCGGCTGCAGAGGATAGGGAAAACGGCGCCTCGCAATAAAGACACTCCTCTCCCACCGCAGCCTCACCACCTCCGCATCAATTAACGATGCGACCCCGTCAGGGTCGCGGAGAATAGGGCGGGTGGCGCATCACCATACCAACACTCCTCTTCCTCCGCGACTCAACCTCGGTTGCAGCGGTAAGTGGAGGGGACACCCCTCTCACGGCAGCCCACCAACACTCATACAAAGCCCATTTGGAGTGGCCACCTGCCGGGCTCGGGCCGGCCCAACACCTACACACACACCAGGCTAGCCAAGTGAATTCCTTTTTGTTCACCGCGGGTGACCAAGCCGCAGTGAACAATTGGAACACCTAGGCTGTCAAAGATAAATTATGTATGAAATGTGTACTAATTTTAATGACGGCTATCTCTATCTGCTTACTCTTATAATATAATGGTTCCATATTGGTTATAGTAATTTGAATTGTTTTTAATTTAAATTAAATAGAATTGTTAAAAGTTACTTAATACATATATTAATGTATATATTATATAATTGTGTTTATGTAATGAAACATGCACTATAAAACATGTGAAATATGGAGTGTTAGATGCCGTAAGATTAATAACAATAAAAGGTTCTTCGTAGCCTAAATTTCTATATTTGATAAAAGGTAGAGAGTCATCATTCATCATCATTACAGCCTTTCATAAGTCCACTGCTGAACATATGCCTCCCCCAAGGAATGCCACAAAGCACGGTCCTGAGCCACCTGCATCCATCGACTTCCTGCATGTCTTACCAGGTCGTCACTCCATCTCGTAGGGGGTCGCCCTACAGTTCGCCTACCAGTACAAGGCTGCCACTCAAGAACCTTTCTTCCCCATCGGTTGTCGGTTCTTCGAGCTATATGGCCGGCCCATTGCCATTCAGCTTACTAATCCATTGGGCTATGTCGGTTACTCTGGTTCTACTGCGGATATACTCATTTCTAAGTTTAACACGCAGAGAAACCCCGAGCATAGCCCTCCCATAGCTCGCTGAGCGACATTGAGCTTCCTCATACGGCCAGCAGTGAAGGACCACGTCTCAGATCCGTAAGTCTTCACTGGCAACATGCACTGGTTGTACAATTTCGTTTTAAGGTTTTGAGGTATGTCTGACGAGAAGATGTGTCGTAGTTTCCCGAACGCTGCCCAGCCGAGTTGAATCCGTCGATTGACCTCTGTCGAAGTTGGACTTACCTAGTCGGACTATTTGTCCCAGGTAAACATACTCGTCAACAACTTCGAGCTTAGTGCTCCCAACAACTACCGCGAAACGTAAAAGGTAGAGAGTGGGTGACAATAATAGGTAATATATTCAATGTAAATAGATTTTTAATTTGTTCAAAATGAGAAATAAATCTGGCGAATTGAACAAAAATTGTTTTTTCATGACCAATGCATTTTATCAAACGCAAAAATAGACATAAACGGAGCAAAAGTGAACTCTAGACTGACTTGTGTTACATTACAAGTCAGTCTCATCAAAGGGATTCCCCAAAAAACCGACAGCAGGTGACGCGCGCTGTGATGACATACCGAATATTCGAAATTAACGTGCTCACATCGAGCAAATGCTCGTGTCAATCGCCACCGTTCGTAAAATACTTTCGCAAATAAGGGGGTCCCTCCCAGATTGTGTATTAACTTGTATAATAAAAAAAAACCAGCGATTCATCGTGATCTGTAATTGTAGGATTTTCATATAAAAGAAAATAGTGCTTCCACCATTCACTTGTGCTTCCATATACGCTTCGTTGTCGAAACAATAACAACTGAATGTAAACTGACTCGGGACACTGGACCGATAGTAAAAAACAAGTCGCATTACTTTTTTGTTCCATTATAACTTGATAAAACATATTTGAATTTATATTCTCTAAATAGAAAATATTTTAAAATATTCATCTGTATGCTATTTGTTATCACAAGAAATCGTTTATATTTATGTATGTTTCTGTATTGGGCTAGTTAACTGTGACTTAGCGTGATGATGGGGAGGGAAGTAACGTATATTATGGACGACTCTTTACAAACTAAAAATAAAATAACAATGTAAGCATTTTGACGATTATTTATTATGAACCATATTATTACAACTAATCAAAGTAATGAAATCTAATTATAATCTTAAATTTAGAGATAGAGGCGCGTAATACTTCCTCTGATATCACAATCCACAGTTACTTGACGCCTCGACCCCAATCTTCCCAAAAGTAACTGAACCCGTCATACTGTATTGTGATATATATTTTTCTATGTAACAATGCTACGTAAATACAAAACAGGTTTTTACATCAAGTTTCATTTGCCACAATAAATAATGAAAATAATTTAAAAAAAAATCAAATGCATAGTTGAAGAAGCGATTAATACCACTAATAGAAATAGAAATAGGAGGCTGTTAACTACAATTTGGAAATGATGAGCTTATTCGTCATAACATTGTCTCAAGTAGATTTCCTTATCTCGCTGACATATATTATTTTAAAATGAAACATACAATTTGTATGGAATATAATATGTTGAAAATTTAAGATTTTCGATTTTTATCTAAACACTTCTAAGTTTTGAATTAGAAAATTTATTGTTATAATTAATCGCTACATACTTGTGCAAATCTTCATTTAGTGGTCTTTGTGTTGTTGTTAAAGTTAACATTAACATTTTCTTATTCAGTCCAAGAAAACTAATTTTAAAATTTAATCAAAGATTCGTCAAGAGAATAATATAATATATAATATACAACAGTGTACGTATACTACCAATTATGTGATATAGGGGCTATTTTTATGGCGTATAATAAATACAAGACATAATGTATCCGTTCACCTATCACGGAGAATACAACGGCAGTCTTATATGACTGGGCTTATAACTAAATTACATAAATGTCGGTGGCAAAATGGCGTCTACACGAAGCCGAAATTTTTAGTTTTGATAGCAAGCAGTAGCTTATGCTTGAGTACATGTCGTGAAGAATACAATGGGATGTATAGTCGAGAGATACATGTATTGGCAGTGGGCAAATGAGCATCGTCCGCAGGCCGGATAGTCACTGACGGCATCGGTTGGAAGCCTTCCTCAGACGCTGGCAACGCCGGTGAACCAGTCCAGAAGTATACCTGTAAGACGTAAAATATTCGAATTTATTCATAAAAGATTAACATTATTTATAATTTTTAGAAAATTGTTGACACTACAGCAACAGTTGCTGCATTGATTTTAACATATGCAACTCGCATTTATTCATTTATATTTCTTGAACAAATATAGTTTTTATTTCAGTCATGATTTTAGTTCACATCATTCATTTGAATATATATTGTATTAATTTTTCCAAATGATTAATTAAAAAAATGTGAAAAAATCCATCACTCCATTGACTATGGGAAACTTCAAATTTCATGACCTCTGACAGATGGCAAAATAACCATATCGTTTATGTCAGGCTTAAAATATCTAGACCAGCGACAGGGAGCAGCATTAAAGGTGCGATGCGTCTGGTACTGCGATCGCCAATCCGCCTACCAAGTGTGGCGATTATGGGAAGTTGTTCTTAAGGGTTGTTAAAGCAACTGCAACTAAAGAACATAATAGGGATGGGCAAGTGTGAAAAAAATATCGATAATTATTGCGTGATAAATATAAAATTTTGACCCTCATCCTAACTATGTCATGCAAAACATGATATCCATATTTATCATATATCTGTATTTATCACGCAATAATTATCGATATGCATGACGTAGTAGTTTTTTAATTCTGGACCTTTAGACAACGAAATAAAACGACAGCACTTATTTGCTGTTTTTATGCTTTTATAGTGTCTGATAAATTACATTGTCTATTTATTACATTATAAAATAAATATATCATTTTAAAATATATCGAATTCAATACTCTAAAATAAATAACGTATATCGATATAAAGCAATTAAAAATATAAATGATAAATATTCTTCGAAATCCTCACGAAATTTTCGATATATCGATTTTTTTTACTCAAGCCTAGCAAATATCCCCTCTATGAGTCAATCTTTGGGGGAGGCCTATGTTCAGTAGTGGACATTTGTGCAAGCTAATGAAAAAGAAGCAGAAGATATAAAAAATACAAAAAAAAATGTTTCTTGTAGATTTATGTACTTACTAGATCTTGTCGTTCGAGATGGGTCATCTTATCTACAATAGCCCATAGCCAACGCTTGAATCGGACGAGTCGTTCTGGTGGTTCTCCACTTTCGTCATTAAAGCTTGTGTAAGATACTAATGCGGCGACATTGATATCGCCCACACCATTTAATAGAAGCCTCAGGTCTTCAGCTGTCAAGCCCTCTAGAGCAGACTCAGGTAAGACGTCAAGTACACCTACACGAATTGCCTGAAAATAAGAGCATATTGGGACTGAAAAACATGCCGACATCAGAAAATAATTCTAACGCCTATCTATAATTCATAAACATTTTAATAAAAAGGAAAGTGAACTATTAGAGAGAACTGGTTTTAAGAATGGTAATATTTTCGTAATAGGTTGAATAAATGGTATGATAATCTTGCGCAAGTTGCGAAAAGCCGTCGATACTCCTTACTATTCATTAAAATTCAAAGGAATTGGTTGTTTAAACGGCTGTAATACTTTACCTCTAACGCCTTCTCCTGGGAATGCAACATGCGGTGTTGCGCGTATTTGCGCACGTAGTCGTACACATTAAGAGCTGTCACTTCGATTTCGCGGCCACCTGGGACTAGTTCTACACAACCACCTCCTTCTTCTTCACACATTTCCAAACTAAAATAACGTCACATAGTCATATATAAATTATTAGAATGAATATTGAAGTTTACAAAAAATAATTTACTAGCTTAATCAATAACAACAGTCGTAAACTTATTTTTACTATATATAATTTCAAGTTATTCAAACAAACAAACTATAAATAAGTATATTACCTAAAGTTGAGATCAAGAGCGGCAAAGAGTGAGTGAGAATCGCCCGTTTCAGCGTCTACGACGAGTTGTCTAAGGCTCTCATAAACAACAGGATCAAAGAATGCCAGATCGTGGAAGCGTACTGGTCGGGCCAGTATATATTTTAAAACATGTCGATTTAGAAACATTGGACACAGTTCATTTTGTAGGAGACAGAGCCCGATTATTCTGAAAACAAAATAATATAAATATATAGTTATTTAAAATACATATTAAATAATTTCTTTAAAAGTAGCATTATTTTTTGTTCTGTTTTAAAAAATTTTGTTAGAAGAGCATAATATGCCAAAAGGCATACTGAATTGAGAGACATTTTGTAACCAATTACATTTAAACAATCTATATAGTGTTTGCGTTATAGCATGGTGCGGGTGTCAGGTTGACGACACTAGAACGTAACACGCAAGTTACGTTCTAGTGACCTGTTTGCAAGATTACTTCAGCATCTTTAACTATGAGAAAATAAAACAGATCTTTTTTATTTTCTTTTTCTTTTTTTATTAGTAATGTCCCTCATAATCGGCCATAAAAAAACTGTCAAGCGAATATAATCGCTAAAAATAAGTAAGAAAATTCTATTTTACATGTTGTGTGGTGCAATACCGTCATAATCATGTATACTAAAAATGTAACTTACGATTCGTGTACTACCATTTTGTGGATCTCGCTTAAAATAATCTCGAAAGCGAATTACATACCCTCCCCCCTATCCCTCTCCCCAACTTGACTCGCCTTTGGCATTTTAAATAAACAAACTAAAGAAATAGCAAAAATTAACAAAACAACAATAAAACCAATAATCGAAAGTAAAAGCAATATGAACACAACTTGAAATTACAAAACGGCCGATAGGTACTTGATACAAAGTACTCTAGGCGCTAGCATAGATTATACACATTAGTGTTGTCAACACCTTACTAAAAAAATCACAGCGGCTGGCAGTAATTTTATTTATTTAATGTTAAGAATAATGTTGCAATTAAAATAAAATAAAACATTTTTTTTTTAATTAATACAGACTCAAAAAAAAACAAAACCTGTTTTTTTTATTTTATTAGATTTATAAACCATATTCTCGATTATTTTTACCTTTCGTCCCAATATTTGACATATTGGACCAGGCAATACTCTCGTACCTTAAAAAGCTGCAGGTGTAGTTAACGCCATACTAAATATCACAGCAGCTGGCAGTAATTTTATTTATTTAATGTTAAGAAAAATGTTGCAAATATAATAAAAGATAATTTTTATTTTCAATTAATATATACTATAATATGTAACTATAATGTCATAATTTGTATTAAACTGTAACTAAAATTTAGATGCATTGTAATTTATTTATAAAGAAATATATATTCCGGTTATAATTTTTTTCATTATCATTAATTTTTTCTTTTTTGTGTATGTATCGTTAATCGCCGTGGCTAAATTGGATGGCTTTATCATATATTTCTTTGCCGAGATTATTTTTTTAAATAACTGTAAAAGTGCCAAAAGAAATTACAGTCCACCTAATGGTGAGTGGCTACTGCAGCCAACTTCAAACGTAAAGGACTATAGATGTGTTGCCATCTTTCAGGACTAAAATTGAATGACTCAGTTTGCCTCTCTATACCCTACCAGAACACAACAGTGAGCATTGAGCACAGGTGGTAAGGTAGGGCGCGTTTGTGCGAGCGCCGTCCGCTCTTACAAATTGCATATTGCGACCTTTTTGCATTGTTGGTAACGGCCAATAAGTTTTTAAAAATTAAAATTGTGCAACACTCGGACTCGAAAACTGCTGTATTTTTCAATCGGGGATTCCCGATAGACCGAACCTATCTGTGTCGGCGTTGAGTTTGGCCGAGGAAAGAAAAGGGAGAAAGAGGAGCCTGGCAAGTTGTTCATTCCATGGAGCGCCTATAGCTCCATGTGGTAGTACGAAGCATGTTCTATACGTATTAGAGTAGTTTGGAGACTTCGATAGCATGATTTAGCATGGCTTCGGTTCGTTTCACTTGTGGTGCGAAGCCGGCTACGCCACACATGCCTTATTTGTATTTAAAAAGAGCCAATATTATCTGTAGATGAATTCCGCGCTTGTGCTCGTTCACACACACGACCCTATTACATTATGGTATAAGCGTTACGGTTACAGTCAACAACTGAAATTAATAAAAACTGTGGATGCTAATCCGCCCGTCAAGCGTTATACAATAGCTAAATACCCCAGTTATTTATATTCTTTTTTTTTTCTTTTCTTCTTTAAAAAAAACGTTACCTCCACACTAGGATTTTCTTCTATATCGCAGGGGCAGTTTACGTACATAGATTTAACAAGGACAAACATCCAGACCCAGAACAATTATTTGTAGGTCATACAAATAATTGTTCCGTGCGGTATTTGAACCCGCGGCCCTTAGCGCTGCAACTCATTGCTATAGAGAATAATTATAGAGATAATAATTATTATAGAAAATAATTATTTTATTTTCCAACTTCTAATAAAGTCCACTGTTGAACATAGGCCTCCTCCACAGATCCTCATAGGGCGATATTTGTCATAGTCATTACTCTTGGAAAGTGGGTTGGCAACGGCAGTTTTTTTATTTTTATCTTTTATTAGGAAGACGCTGCTACCCATTTCCAGATTTGTTTAACCTCTGTCGCTTCGAACGACGGTACGGGATGATATGAGGGTAGTGTATTTTTTTTTTGGATAAGGGTTACACAAACGAGCACACAGGCAAGTGTTTGCTGTGGTGTTCTACACTCATCAAACGAGTCACAGCAGGGTTAAGCTGATATTTTACGCTGGTATTCTGTGAGAGTGTGGTCCTTCCCCGGTCGAGCCGCCCCATTCGCGCTACAACTATACTACTAATATAGCTGCAGCATGGCTCTACCGCCGCCATTACACTGTGTAAACGGTGTAAAAGTGATGCGTAAATGAGCGCGCACCTGCCGACGTTCCGAAAGGCGTTGAGCCGCTCGGAGGTAGCGCGTCCCTGGCGCGGCGAGTAGTAGCCGCGCTTGCCGGGCGAGTAGAAGAGCGGCGCCGCGTCGTCGCTGGCGGCGCCCGACGGGCCCGCGCCCAGCGCCGCGCCGCCGCCGCGCTCCGACAGCGAGAACACGTCCAGGTCTACAAGCATACCTTCATTTATTCATGATTGTTTTTTTCATTTATCGTGGCATTGGCTACAAGGCCTTCAGCCAAATGGAACACATCAAGCAATAAATGTATAAATATTATCTTCATAAAGGAAAGTCGATGGATGCAGGTGGCTGAGGAAAGTGTTTTCTGGAATTCCTCGAAGGTGGCCTATGTCCAACAGTAGACTTGTTGTTGAAGGGCTGTGTAATGTTGATAACGATCTTCATAAAAATCTTTACAATAATATGATGATACTGTTATATTATTAAGTTACTCTGAAATTTTAACTTCATTACGCTCATGCATGCTTAATACTACGTATAATAAAAGAGTGTTAAAATAGCATTTAATAAAAATGGGTCAAGATATGTGGTGCAAACCAATTTATATTATTACCTAGTATTGCTTCCGAAGGGTGCATGACAATCAAGTCCATGGCTTCGCGAACTTTCTGTCTGAGGGCATCCTCACTGGCAAGTAAAACTAAAAGTTGTGCAGGTGTAAGCTCCAACAGCATACCAGTAATTTTGCCAGCAAATGTTGGATGTAGAGAATGTACCTGATAAAATACATAATATAATGAAATGTAATTGCTTTTAACTGTAAAGTGTATAAAAACAACATATCCAGGAAATTGCTAGATATCTCTTACTCTTGGATAAAGTCTTTCGCCAAGTTGCGCCTGATGAAGTGTCAAATGCTCATTATGTCCTCCACCAGGTCTGTCTCCACTGTATCCTGCTCCCTCAGTTCCAGGTGCAGCCTAAAATAACATGTTGAATAAGCGACGTGATAAAAGAGCTAATATGCATGATACTGTAAAAATTAAATCAATATTGGTACTTTTTCTATTTATGCAAAATGCTTCCATCTCAGAAAGTTGCCAATATTATGTTTTAAAATGACATGAAGATATCCCCCAATTAGGAATTACTTCTGTATCATAGAGAAGTTTTACAAACATAGATTTCATATAAAGAAACTACAGATCCGGAACAATTATATGATGGTGGTAGCTCAAAGCGTCGAAGCAAAATTCTTAACCTCTGACCTACGTAACTAACAATGTTTGACAGTGATTAAGACTGCTTTTGAATATAAAACTTTATTTTAGAGATAAATCAGGCGAAAACCTGGTAAATAGTCAATTTTGCTAATACTATTTTAATAAGTACAATCCGGATTTCTAGTGATCAATAAGTTTATTGAAGTTTTACTTCTTTTGGGGCGTTTGGGAAAAATGAGAGTTTATTTTTACGACGCGCGCGCACACAGACATCTAAAAACGACAAAGTTGTTACGATGCGTGCGCACACTGACACCTAAAAGCGGGTGGGTAATTGTCTCTCAATTTTTTTTTTTTGTTTTGTTACGCTAAAGAAGTATAACTACCTACGTGCGTACATAAATACTCCCTTTTTTGTACATTTGTCAATGGAGTAAATTAAAATTTTTTAACATTTTTTTACATTATAAAAAATCCTACGTAATATGTACGCGTAGGCGTCCCCATTTTTAAGTGTTTTAAAACAGGTAATAGTCCACACCGCTGCCCCGATTGCGTGTTAGGAATTTACGGACATCAAAATCTCCCGATATTTCATTCACCGAAGTGACAATTATGTTTAATACCTGGTCAATATAATATTATTTTGACAATGATAAGAATTAAGAGTCACCTCCGCCAACGGGTGTGTGTTACCGAGAGTGCGGCTTTATCGGTGGCCACAGCGCGGTCACTAACAAATTTTTACAACAGGCCGCGGTTACCGCGTGATAAATGCTACATGCATGTAAATACGGATTTAAATAGAAACAGTGCAAAATATCTATTACTTTTTGATACTTCACACTGTGATTACAAAAGCATTAGGATTAACAACAAAATATGGGATAATATTGCTGTATATAATAAGAGTAATAAGCCATGTCGATTGACGTCCGATCGTAGCACAGACACGTCAGCGAATGGCGTTTCAGATCGCCACTGCGACCGTGGTGGTGTATTGTCGCAGCGGCTGGAGCCGCAGCTCGAGGTTAGTTACCACCTACAAGCCGCTTGTGTGCGCGCATGTAACGCAAGCGCTTAATGTTATGTAGGTAATAGAAGCATTGTTAACCTGTGGCGAGTAAGGTCTGGCGTCGACGCTGAGCACGCGGCGCGGTTCGCGCGCGGCGGGCGGGCGCGGCGCCGCGCGGCCCGGTGCCCTCCGCGCCGTGTCCTTCGCACGAGCCCGCCCTGCACCGCTTCTGTCAAACAATCACTTATTAAAGCACTGGCTTATTAGTTTTTTAGTGGCCTCGATGGTGTCTCCCAGCGGGTGACCAAACGGGATGAGCCTCATCCTGCAACAGAGTGCATGGTGACAGGTGAAATGGACACCTGTCAAAGACCTGGACAAAGATTTATCGTAATTTTTGTAGGAAGCTCATAATTAGATGCAAATTTATGGTCTGTTGTGAGGACGATTGATATGAAATCTATACTAATGTAATAAAGCAGAAGTGGTTTTTTTTTTGTTTGTTTAAACATGCTAATCTCTAGAACTACCAATATGATTTGATAAATTATTTTTGCATATGATTGCCAGATTCATAAGGAATAGTATAGATTATCTAGCACTAGGTACACATCCCAGTTAGGCCTAAATATTGATTTTTAATGATTTCCTATATTTACGTGAAGACTACACATTAAAAACTAATTTTTATGGATTTTATCGCGTTACAGCACCCATGATCACGGACTTGGGGGCTGAGTCGACGTACCTTTGTCATAGTTAGCCCCGCTCTACCTTCAGTTTTTGAATATTAATTTTTGCATGCAAGACTTCAAGATACTGTAAGCTCATTCTGCGTAGATCGGACCAAAAATTAATATTAAAAAACTGAAGGTAGCCGGGCTAACTATGACATCGGGACGTAAAAATTAGTTTAATTTAATATTGATGTTTTGTTAAGTAAGTCGAAAGAAGCGCTACTTGGCGTAATTTAAGTAAATAAAAATTGTCTTAAACACAAATAAATAAATACAAACCTGGTCCCGCTATTACTGCTAGCACTACCAGCGTTTGCGCCACCTGAACTTGAAGTGCCATTGGCAGCACTGCTATTAATTCCGCTGCCTGAAGTTGGCTCCAAGGGAGGAAGTTTTTCATTAGCTAGTAAAGCCTAACAAATAAAAATTGTAAAATTTAATAATAATCAAAATTCCAAATAGACATGTATATACAAAAGCTATTGAAGCAAACCTTTCAACTTCTAACATTGATAATGGCAACCAAAAGTTATTTAAATTTTTTCGTCCTTTTCCCTGTCAACCATTGTTATTTGTAAAATTTGTTACCGTCCCATCGGACTAAGCGAGTGCACATGTCCCACGTAAATGACTAGTCTTCGTTGAGACTGGCCGCCGTGACCGAAAATTGATTTGGAGAACGTTATTAGCCAATTCGTATAATTATTATTGTTGGTTATTCGTGGAATAAACTAGTGATGGGTGGCTTGGTTAAAATTGCAACTCGGTTTAGCTGGGTTTGAAAATCGTATCAAATCGATTAACCGCATACAAAATAAAATGTAGCTAAATCGAATTGATTGATCCAATTTAGATATTGTTGACAAGTAGACAATATATTTTACTACTGAAAAACTATGATTTTATAGCCAACAATAACAAACATCTAACATAAAGCACCAACAAAAACACAACGTGCGTTTGAATTCGCTAACGCACACAATTTGAAACGAAAATGAAATTAGCTCGGTAACTAGTTACGTTCAGAGCGCGCGTAAACTGCTATCTCACTCACCATTCCCGTGCTGAAAGCTGACTGACTAGTTCAACCCTACAACGCACATCGGCGGCGCGATGAAACCGGTTAAACTCAATCTTAGAATCTATATGACTCGTTGAATCGTCAAACAGATTTGAACCGAGTTGGTAAAACTTGGTGAGTTGACACGTCGCTAGAATAAACCTTAGTGGCGGTGTAAGAATTTATCGTCTCACGGGTATCGTAAGAGAGGACAGAGGGAAAATGAAACAGTAGATGGGCAGCAGCATCTTCTTAACAACTCAAAATAATAAAAATCTGCAGTTGCAGACCAGCCTGCCAGTCATGGCATGTCAAAATCCCCGATTTGAAGCAAATAAAAAAGGGAAGGGCTATGTTTAGCATAGGGCTTTTATAAGCTGTAAGGAATGTCAAATTGAGTACCTCTTCCTTTTTGAAGTCGGTAGAAAAAAACGGAGACTATCAGGAGTTTCATATAAAAATGAATGCTAAAATAGTCGTGGAATAAACTGATTTATATGAACATTTCTTGAAGAATACAGTGATTAATAAAGTATGTGCAATGTATGTGCATGCAATAAAGGTTGTTATTGTTGTGGGTCACCTCCGCGACGCTGGTGTAGAAGGAGCGCGCGACGCCGCTGCCCTCGCCGGGCTCGTCGCGGAACGTCACCTTGACGCGGTTGACGGCGAGCGGCGGCTGGGCGCTATGCGCGCGCCTGTTCTGTCCCACGTACGCGCTGTTCAGCTCCGCAAACGTCTGCTGCAGGAGCTTTGCGCGGTCTCGTTCCATCTGGAATTTTTTATATCAAATTAGCGTTGTGGTGTGATTTATTAACTTTTTTGGCACGTCTTCGATGTACAAAGCCAAATTTATTAAATATCCTTTTCTACCGACTTCAAAAAGGAGGAGGTACTCAACTCGACTGTAAGTTTTCCTTTCATTATGTGTGTTATAACTTTTTTCTGGGTGAACCGATTACGATGATTGTTTTTTTTATTTGAAAACTGGTGCTTCTCATGTGGTCCCATATAAAGTTTAGAACAATTGTTTTTGAGTTATTCTTAATAAATTTATTGAAGTCGGTTGTAGAAAATCTTCTTTCTAAATTAGGTTAAAATTTAAAGTTACAACCTATATAATATGTCCCATTGCTGGGCACGGGCCTCGTATCATTTCTAAGATTTTAGGGCAAGGAAATGTCCGCCGCCCTGCTCCAATGCGTGTTGGCGAAATTCACATGTTCTCGAAATATTATTTTCTTATTTTTCAGACATGCAGAGCTTCCTCACGATGTTTTCCTTCACCAACGAGCGGTGAAAAAGCGGTTCTAAATTAGGTATATTCTATGAAATATGTCAGAGATATTGAAATTTTACCTTATGCAAAGTCAAATCCTTCTGCTGTGAGTTGCGTAGTTTTTCCATATCCCGTCGGAATTTGACCTCCTTAACTGGGAAACCACCGAGCTCAGCTACAACGGACCCGGATTCAAGGCCCACGTCCTCAGTGAAAACGCGACCAAACAGGTCAAGCGACAGTCGCCATCGTCCCAATAACAAATCATGAGACACTGAGGCCCCAAGCGATGGACAAGTACGCCTGTTACAGAACAAACATATTCAAAATGTAATATTATCAATCACTTTAAAAATGAAATATGACTAATATTAAATATTAGTCATGTTTCATTTTTAAGCTGATTGATAATAGTGGTACAATTGCATATTCAAACCCACGACTTTTGGATTTCTCAGTTATAATTACTTCATTAGCTTTTAAGTTACAGAAATTGCATTCATTTATTTTTCACTACGCATACAGTAAAGCCGTCTCGCAGTTGAAAATTTTTATATTTCTTAATCACTTAATCAAAGAACTAAACCATTTAATTGATATTGTTAGTTACACTATCAACAAAAGATTACACTTGTTGAAGTCTCATTCAATAATTTTTTTTTCCAAATCAACTGTAATCAAATTGTATATAGCAATGAGTTGTTGCGCTAGGGGCTGCGGGTTCGAATCCCGCACGGAACAAGTATTTGTATAGCCTACAAATAATTGTTCCGGGTCTGGATGTTTGTCCTCGTGCAATTTATGTTTGTAAACTGCCTCCACAATACAGGAGAAAATCCTAGTGTGGGGTAACGTTTTTTATAGAAAATACAATTTAACAAAAATACAATACAATATTCAGATCCAGTAATTGTGACAGTAGCAACCAAAATAATATACTGATAATGAACTACTGTAACAATCAATCATCCAAAAATTTGAAAAATTAAATCTATACTGCAAAAGAACTAGCGTGAAACTCTTGGAAACTCAATTTCCTTTTTTATCCACCATAACTGATTAGTAAAAAATTTGCAAGCAATAGTATAAGAACACATTCAATACTTAAGTGAAAATGAGTTACATACACTTGGGCGGGTGCATTGAGTACTTGAGGTGGTAATAACGGCGCTGTTGTCAGACCCGTCGTCTCTACAGTCACGTGTGCTGAGATCTCTTGAGACTCCAGGGGATCTGCTACACTTAACAACTCGCCCTGTAGACAATATTTTATGTATAGCAAGTAGCCACATTTAATCGATTTCGGACCAAGCAAAGACTACTCGGGTGGTTTAAGGCATAATGTCTAAAGACGTGGAAGTGACGATTATACGCGTTAAGGTCACCCGCATGATTTCTCGGACAGAAATGTAAAATAATAAAAATATTTAAATTATTTACTGATTTAAAAAAAAAACTTTTGTTACGGAAAGTTCCACTTGTCTAAAAATGTTATGGGTGGACCAAACCACTATTTATATTAGACTTTAATATAATGTTGCCACATTAACGTACATAGGATAGTGATTCATATGGTTATGGTTATATGGGTCGTAAAATTTTTACTCTTTTAATAGGCTCTTAATGATTTGCTTTCGCGCTGTGCCCAAACGACAGAACTAGACAATGGAGAGAATTGCAGTTCAGACTGATTATACCTATGAAAAGTTCGCGAAATAATAATCTCCGAGTGATCCTGCTTCTTCCTCAAAAACTGGACTGATCCTGTATACAAAGACATACAATTTTTACGTGGTAAAGCCACGCTGCAGCTATATTGATTTTGCCCATTCTTATCTTTTAAGTGTAACTTACACTGAAAAGATAAGAATGAACAAAATTATATCTTTAAAATCGTAACTTCAAGGCCAACAGTTGTTGTTTACTAAAATTTCAAGTTTGATAATTGCATTCGAAATCGCCAAAAGATTAAAACTTTTCACTGATGGTGATTTTATTAAAGAGTGTATGTTGAAAGTCGCTGATGTTTCATTCCCGTCCCAAAATCAATCATTCAAAATATACCGCTGTTAAGAAACACTGTTGCTTTAAGAATAAGTCATTAATCCCAGAATTTGGACTGTCAGCTAAATTAAAAAATCAAGTAAATTACAAACTTTTCGCTAGCTATTGACGAGAGAACTGATACTGTGGGTACAACGCAACTTGCTGTCTTTATCCGAAGTATTAACAGTACCTTCGAAATAATTGAAGAACTATTAAAGTGCTTACCATAAACAGGCACCACTACAGCAAATGATATTTGTTCTGCGATCGAGCAATTAATAGTAGAATATAAACCCGATTGGAATAAATTTTGCAGTATAACTACTGATGGTGCTCCTGCCATAGTGGGCAAAAATTCGGGAACTGTAACTAAATTAAAACAGAAAACATCAGATAATTTTGTGGGAATTCACTGTATCATTAACCAGGAATCACTTGCATCCAAACATTCAAAAATGGACCACGTCATGTAGCCCGTCGTTTAAAAATAAACATTGTAAGGAGCAGAGGACTAATTACAGAGAGTTAGGGCAATTTTTACAAGATTTGTATGAAAATTATTCAGATTTACTTTATTTTACGGAAGTTCTTTGGCTCCTTTCTAGGTTTCATGTCAGAAAAAGACAAGCTAATGGATTGATTATGACAATGGCTAGTGGGTTTTTAGTAGACATGACTAAACATATGAATGACCTGAATGCAAAGTTTCAGGGGCAGGTTTTGAGCGTCACTCAAATGTACTCGCATATTAAGGCGTTCGAAACAAAACTATGACCATGGGAAAATCAGATAAAAACCAAACACTCGATCATTTCCCTCATTTAAGATCAATTGACACAGTGAACCAGAATAAATTGGATGAGTATTCTCTACCTTTGCTGAATCTATCCACAGAATTTAACCATCGTTTTCTAGATTTTAGCAAGATAAACGAAATGGAATTCCCCATTTTTAACAATCCATTCACTTTTGAAGTTACAAAGGCACTAATTTATTTGCAAATGGAATTAATAGATTGATGGATTAATAGAAAGGATAAACATAAGGAAGTAAATGTTAGTACATTTTATAAACAGTATACAAAAGTTTGAATAAATTTCGAAATAAAAAAATGATGTAGCACGTATCCTGTGTATGTTTGGTAATACCTATTTGTGCGCGCAGATGTAGTCCGTTATAAAAATAAATAAGTACAAACATCGCTCAAGGCTTACTGACGAACATCTCCAATCTATACTGAAAATAACTACCTCAAATATGACCCCTGGCATCAATGAGCCAAAAACAAAATACCTCAGGTGTCAGAATCCTTAAACTCAACTTAATTCAGCCTTTTTAAAACCTTTATAATATGGAAACTGATTGAAGGTAAATAAATAATGATTTTAATTCAGTATGTGTATTAGTTTTTAATTTTTAGTCTGGTCCGCTAACAAACCCTATAATTTATAATTGGCCCTTAAGAAAAATGAGTTTGACACCCCTGACTTACAGTATCAAACAAACAAGTGCATTACTCTGTTTTCTAGTTAAATGACACTAAAAAAATATTACAATACAATCTATATCTACCATTGCCATGATGCCATTGAAGAAACTGATGATGATACGCAGTATTTAAAGCGCCTATCTGGGGGACTGTTCACCTTGCAGCTGATTGACAGAATTATTTTGGAAGTAATGTTTTTAACACGACACGTCAAGGTCAAGCAAATTTTGTAGTCTTAAAATGCAAAAAAAAAAATATTCCACTTATACCATAATATGAGTAGCCGTATATAAGAAAACACTAATTAATCCTTCTTATATTTTCTAAAAAAATCATTTTATATTGCTACTTGGATAAAAAAAACTGTTTGAAAATATTTTTACGTAGACATCTGGATGTTGTTTTTGTATGTTGGCACGAGAACTCCACAAAATATTGACGTACCGAGACCAGGTTTTTTTTTTTATTAGCTTCAGAATTACGTCTACTGATTCCCTATTTCATAACAATATCCTAGTACGCGTCGTTTGTTAATAAAATGATTTTCAAATTTTATAAATTTAAAGACGTTTTCATTTTCTTCTTTAGCCAAGTCAAGTTCTTAGCGGTTAGCCACCGCAGTCTACATCACCTGAAGAGATGCCTCGTGTAGTGCCGTAACACGAGTCGTATTGCCGTCAATGGTGAGCCTTTCCTAGTGTAGTGGTGCTAGGATTAGTGGTGACGGGGATAGTGCACGCCATTGAGGGAGGGTGGGAGGTGCTCTTCAAACTAGGTAAGACACATCTTATTTTATCGATCGGATGTACGCGAGGTAATTTTTACCAACTTCAATATATTTATGTTTGTGAAATAGTTTGGATCATTATCAAAGTCCTTTTTAATGTTTTTTTTAAATTAATTTTTTAGTTATTAACAGAATAAGTTTGTCCAATTGAAGAGTATTAGGGTATAATTTTGATAAAGAAAAGTCCCCCAAATAAGTGGAGTGACTTACAGCACGTACAATAACAGTCTTGCCGGGGCTGCGAGAGGATGAAGCACGTGGTTCTTGCACCAATCCGCCAGAGCCACTAGGTCCTATCAAGAATGAAGAAAAAGTTCAATAAAAGGATTAAGCTTTTATAAAAATAATTAAACATAAAAGTTGCATATAAAAGTATGAATTGCTTACCTGGTGTAGGCTGTTGATGTGGAGCTTCTATGATGGAGCAGGCGGTGTCGACAAGGGTATGAAATTCTGACGGCTGTGAGTTTGATGCCTGACGTAAGCTGCTACTACTAGATGTTGCCGAATGGGGATGTCTAGATTAAATTGTATTAAGATATTATTACTGATGAAATGTCAATTTGATAAAACTTACGAAGTTGCAATGAAACATACCTATGGTGTTTTTTTCTCTGAATTTGTCTTGCTTCGTTAGAATCCGAATCAGATAAATACTCGCCATCAGTATCAATATCCATTTTGGTAACATTTTCTTTAGCACAGGATAAATCCTAAAAAATGTATCAAGCCACCATTTTAGTATTAAGATATTTCCTTTGTGTGTGCCATATATGTTTGTAGGTAACAAAAAATTAAGAGGTGTTCAAGAATTACGTAAGCAGAGCATGTTTTTAAAAGAATATTTTTATAATCTAAATGATTAATAATAATTTTATTATTGTGAAGATTAATTTAGATTAAACTTGGATTCAAAGGCCGTAGACAATAAATGATTCTTAATTTCGTAAGAGTCATAAATTTTAACTACAATATTTAATAAGTTTTAAAAAAAAATTTACGTCTAATCATTCGCTGGGGGTGGGGGGAAAGAGTTTGCAATTTTCTTATTTTTGCTTATACGAGGGGGGGGGGGGTTTAAAACATAAAAAGTATGCTTATGTAATACTTGAACGCCCCCTAATTAATAAATCTTACATCATCATACATTTAAGGCCGGTGAATTCCGTATGCAAGGTCAGCCAGCTGCATATGTACCTCATTTACACCGTGTTACGCAGATATTTGGTTATATTGACATACCTGTGGCTCGTCGCGGGTCATGGTGTGCGAGTGCGAGTGCGAGTGCGAGTGCGTGTGCGTGGGCGGCGCGGAGGCGGGGCGCGCGGGCGGCGACCAGCCGCGGTCGCTGCCGCGGGAGGAAAGACCAAGACGACGAGGCACCACTTTAAACAGGCAGAAAACTTTAAGCTTTTATCATTAGTTGTTACAATTGCGATTAAATTCAACTGATAGCGTTTGGTGGACAAACACGCAGCCCCTGGTAACTAAATAGATACAAAATAACCTAGAATAAAAGATAACCACTCGTCTGTCGCGGCCATTTTGGCCAATTCCTGAAGTACTTCCAGACTACTTCCTGTTGTTTATTAAAATTACTATTTCTTGAATTTTCTCGAGTCGATTCCATTTTCTCAACGACTAAACAAGTTTAATAAAACCTTGTGACAAGACCGAGAATCTTTTTTTACATAAATAAATGGTATTCGATTTTTGAAACCAAGGAGTTTTCAATTAAAAAGATTTTAATATGACAGGAACAGTGGAAATATTCTATTCCCGATACTTTTAGTGCAGCCCTCGTATTAGTGCAGTCCTCGTAAAAACTTTATTCCAAGTACTATTTGTTTTACTTCTATGTCAAAAGCGTATATAACAATAAATAATTAAAACAAAGAAACTTCTTCATACATTTTTTGTTCACGACAAGGTCGAGAAGAATGGGCCTCACTTAGCTCTACTCGAAATCGGGACAAAAATTGGGACGTTTACAATTCAATTCCGTATTGTGACCTTTAGACTTGACTTTTATTACATCCCTGTTCTATTCTCTTGATTACAGTAAAATTAGAGAGAGATAGGATTAGTAGAACCGATATACATTGATCTCTAAAGCTTCGCGGTAAAACGACGCCAGATTATGGAGTTTCACAGATGCGCATATTATTTGACACGGCAGAATATGGCGTTTGGACGGATGAACGGATAAGTTACGGACTAAATACGTCCTGTTGCTAGGCACTGGCCTCCTCATTACTGAGAAGTTATTGAGCAATTAGTCCACTGCGTTGCTTCAGTTAGTGTTGGTTGAGTTCAAAATTACTGAAAATATTTTACCTCTTGAACATCTACATATAGGAAGCATCCCCTCAACGCCGTAAATGTGGAAAATTTGCATTTGAAATTTCATGTACATTGGTGCCGGATGGAATTGAACTCTGGACTGCTCACGTACAATGAAATTAACGACAAGCGCATATCCCTAGCCTATTTACCATCATAATGGATATGAAATCTTAAGGAAAAATCTTAAATCATAATTAGATCTTACTAAACAGTTTTGATCACGTCACTTAAACTTTCCATCCTAGGCGAAAAAATAAAAGATAATCTATGCAAATAAATAAAATTGAAGTGTCTGTTTGTAATGTCAAAATAACAGTTTTTTTACTAAATGCATATGAAAGTATATACGGTACTTATAACGAAAACACAATTTAAAATTTTAAAATTTTTCTCTATCAGACTGTTTGTTCTGGCTAATCTCCGAAATGGCTGGACCGATTTTGACGGGACTTTCACTGGCAGATAGCTGATATTATAAGGCTTACATAGGCTACTTTTGTTGTAGATAGAGAATTAAGAACAGCTAGTTAATAATAATAAAAAGATTCAGTAGGTGAACACTCTTTATTGAAATGCAGCTCCTGGGCCATACAAAATTAAAAATGATATTTATCCGTATACTACGTTATCACCAGACCGTTGCAGAAACGCCATTAGCACCCATAGGAATACATGTTCCGTACGAGATTCAAGCCTGCGGCCCTCAGCGCCGCAACTCATTGCTAAGGCGTGGCGGTTACACATATTATTTATTATGGCAATGTACATCCAATTATAGATGAAATACGAATAGGAAAACATCAACACTTCACATTCCACATAGATAAGGAGGACAGAGTTAAGAGGAATATTCTCTACAAGTGTGGAATATAGAATGATGATATGTGAGTGACATCATCTCTCAAGATGAATACCTTCTAAGGGGTTGTTGACGCCGGGCGGCGCGTCCCCGGCGGCGGGCACGGTGACGGGCTGGCGCGGCATGCCGAACAGCTCCTCGCGCCGCGCGTTGGGCTGCAGCAGCTGCGGCTGGTCGGCCAGCGGCAGCGCGTCTTGCATCGTCACTGCACAACATAATATACATAAATTATATTACTACTAGTAGTACTATTACTACGTGGTACGACTCTTTTTTTCAGTGTATCAACTAAGGAAACTGAATTTTATTTATAGTATCCAAACTAATTGAAGAAAATTTAATAAGACTTGCATTCAAGAAATAAGCCATACCTATTTTATGCTAGACACTTCTATTTTGTGCTTGGGACAAGAATGTTAAACTTTTCATATGCTATAACATATTCTCTGTTCAAAAAAAAGTGGATAACTGTCTTTCAGCGATGTAATCCATAAATACACTTCCACCTATTAGGTGTCGTAAAAGCAGACTAAGAAAATTCCACCAATAGCAAAGTAACCATTTTTAAAATTGCCTGGCATAAATATCCAGACTAGTATAGAATAATAACAACAGCAAGAATGTATTTTTATTTATTTGCACTTTATTGCAAACACCATCTGGGAATTACAAAGAGCGAACTTAAAACATAAACATAAACACTCACGCCTGTCACCCAGAGGGGTAGGCAGAGATTATGGACTTCCATTTGGCACGACACGAACTTAATAATGCATTATGGTAATTTCTACCGTTCAACCCTGTAAAGTTGTTGAATACGACAATAAACTATATATTATTAGGGGTAAAGTAAATGCCAAGCTTGACTATTAAAGCTAATCCTGCTTACAACGGGAGAGGTCTATGTCTAGCAGGGGACTATTTATGAAAGCGGGCTGTTTATGAAAAGATATATTTAGACTGACTGTTGAAGGGATCAGGCGGCGGGCACCCCAAGCAGAGCGTGGAGTCGGAACGCTGGAAGAAAGCGTGCGTTCGGCCGCGAGCCCCCTCGCCCTCGCCGTCAGACTCGGCTGTCGCACCGCCACCGACCACCATTTCCTCGTCACCTTCCTCATTCTCATTTTCATCCTGAAAATAAATTATGTTATGTGTCAATGATTATCAGTCTGTTCATTTGATTTGATGTAACCTTGAAATGACTAAAGCCGTATGTAAATTGGTTATTTATAAGATCCTTATTCATTATTTTCATTATTATCGTTACATCCTATCAAGTCAATTGCAAAACAGGCCTCAACCCCAAATTGCCACATAAGGGGACATTTGCCACAATTGCGGCTTGCGGGTAGGTTGACAACTGCAGGTATTTATTATTTTAAGTTGTTATATGTAGTAATTGTCTTACGCCGCGACTACACGTCTATTAATCTTTTATTAACTTATAAACATTGCACTGCTGGATATAAATTTCTGCCAAAGTGTTAAGGATTTGCTGTAATTTACTGATTGCTGGACTAGAAGTCGATCGCAGTTCCACACGTCTTGGCATTTTTGTCGCTGCTGCTTGTGTTTTATAAAAGTATTAGTATATAAGATATTATACTCATTTATCTTATAATCTTCATCTATGTATTGTACATAACAAGATTTTCGGGACATTTCTAAGTCACTTTTATAATGCGTCCAGATCAAAAATTGCAAAAAACCGCAATAGCTTTTTGTATGCCGTCAAAACATTGCGTAACATACAAAATAAGTTTATTGATATTTCAAAGCACCACAAGAACTATAATGGAATGTAAATACATTGGTTATGTCATGCATCAGACGCAGGTGGTATGTACATTAAAAAAATATAAAATTAAAAACTACATTTAATTGGTTAAAATATATGGTAGTTCTTTGTTTCATATTCACCCGGTTCCCATATTCAAGAAATTATTCATTTTGTACTACAATTAGCTTTATTAAGTACAATGCACTTTGGATGTGAAATGTGTGTCTACAGTAACTAGTCATAATCAATGACTTATTCAACTGAGGAAGATTTAAATTTGTTGAATTTAATATTAAATACTACTTATTGTAATGGAACAATGTGCATCGAATAAAGTATGTTGCATGGAAAGCATGACTGACCGGTGTCCAGAGGTGGTGGTGGTGGTGCGGCTGCGGCTGCGCGGCGCGCATGTAGTAGACGAGCGCGTCGAGCACGTAGGCCACGTGCTTGAGCGCCGCCACGTCCAGCACCGGCAGCTGCTCGGCGTGCTCGGCGCTGTGCGCGCGCAGCAGCGACAGGCAGTACGCCAGGAACTCGCGCCGCGCGCTGCCCGCCTCCACGCCTGCGCACACACACAACCGACGCACTTTTGTTACATCATCATTATATTATATTATGTATATATGTGCAGCTGCTAACTGGGTGGCTAAGGTACCCCATAGTATCAGACTGAATGTATGGGAACAATTCAAGCAGTGAATGCGATAGATCAAAGGTTACAGTCGATTTAGAGTCAACGACGCGGCTAATCAACTTATCTGAGGAGGATCAGCACAAGGTGTGGTGAATAGACCAGAACCGATTTCACCAATTCGCTTTGAGCATTTGATTAAACCACATATTCAAGCCAACGCTCCTCCTTCCTCTAGAAATCTTAGCAAGTTTTTAATATTAACAATGACTGTATTTGACAACCACTGGGCAATCATAAAATCATAAAAAATAGCAGCTTAAGACTGCTTGTGTTTTGTATGGTGAGTGAAGGAACCGGAGATCTTTTTTACTGGAAACAAGGCATTCCATCTTAGTACCCACGGGTGACAACGCATCTGCATTTTGATTCATAATATAGATGTCTATGGGCCATAGCATCCACTTACCATTAGGTAGAGACTGTGTGCCCGCTTGTCACCTTTATTCTAAAACAATCAGAAATATCCAGAGAATATGAGCTGCCATTTCCTCATGCGTTATACAAGCTCTGCACAAAGGGCTGTTTATAACAGAGAGAGTGACTAGCCTAAAATGAAGTTTGTTCAGTCTGAGTAAGCACTTGGAGATTTTGATTTAGTGGCAAAGTAATGCCTCCTCTACAGTACTCGCGAAGTAGATCGAAGTTGGACGAGGCGAATAGTGTAGAGAAGTACTTTGATTCACTTCGTCCAACCTCGCTTCGCCTCGGGCGACTTCCGATTGCTGTCGGTTTTTTGCGCCAGAGTCAAATGACTTCGCGAAGTACCCCGAAGTTACACGAAGCGTCTCACTACACTACTCGGCTTACGCCAGTTATGAATATTATTTTTTATATACGAGGGTGGATTGAAAAGTACTCGGCCTAACCAAGAAAATAAACACATACTAAATCAGTTATATTTTTATTTTTTTACATAATCACCATCAAGTTCAATACATTTTGCCACCTCCCCTTCCAAGCATTTAGACCGTTGAAAAAAAATGATTCTTCCTTAGAGTCAAAATATGCGTCTACAGCTGCTTTGACCTCGTCGTTTGTCGAAAATCTTTGACCTCCCAAGTGCTTTTTTAGGTTAGGGAACAGAAAGAAGTCTGATGGTGCCAGATCAGGTGAATACGGCGGATGCGGTAACAGTTCAAAGCCACAGTTGTGAATTTCAGCCATCGTGTGAACACGGGCGTTATCTTGATGAAACAGGACTTTTCTTCTGAGCATTCCTCGACGTTTTTCTTTTATTTCCTCTAGTAAACGACGTAGTAAGGTGCAGTAGTAATCAGAGTTTATATTCTGACCCCTTTCAAGATAATCAATCATAATCACACCTTTCGAGTCCCAGAATACTGAAGCCATCACCTTATTTGCCGACAAAATCGACTTAGCCTTTTTAGGGGGTGGTGAACCAGGTCTTCTCCACTGTTTTGATTGTTGTTTTGTTTCCGGTGTACAGTAATGAACCCATGTTTCGTCCATAGTAACAAAACGATTCAAAAAATCATCTGCATCGGCTTCAAATAACTCCAAACAGTCGCGTGAAATAGTCAATCGCGTCCTTTTTTGTTCAACTGAAAGCAGTCGCGGAACCCACCTCGCAGACACCTTGTGGAAACCCAACTCGTTGACAATGATGTTTTGAGTTCGTTCATAAGAGATGCCTATAATCTCGGCTATCTCTCTAATTTTTAATCTGCGGTCTCCCATTATTAAATCAAGTACTTTTTTAATATTTTCGTCAGTAGTTGACGTCGAAGGCCTTCCAGAGCGGGGTTCATCTTTCACACTCTCTCTACCACGCTTAAATTCTGCTATCCATTTTTTGACGGATGAATATGACAGAGCACAATCGCCTAATGTACTGACCATGTCATCATGGATGGCTTTTGATGATAGCCCCTTCTTATGGAGGTACTTAATGACGGCACGCTGCTCGATTTGCTCCATTCGCGGAAATTATGTCCGATTACTTTGTTAATAAATTTATAAAATCACAACTAATTATCGCACACGTTTCGAACTTCACACAATGAACTAGTCTGAACTGAACTAAATAATGTGGGTAGATTTGATTTTTAGAATTGAATGGATCTGTGTTAGGCCGAGTACTTTTCAATCCACCCTCGTATAAATATTGAATATGTAGCTCACTACACTACTCAGCTTACGCCAGTTATGAATATTATTTTTTATATATAAATATTAAACATGTAGTTCTTTACATAATTATTTATTTAGTTAATGCATTGACGTCGTACTGTTCACACAATTAGGTACCTATAGCAACTGCCTCTTGAACGTGTTGAATGTTAAGGGTGTGGGAGACTCAAGACGACTGAGCTCTTCGCGAAGTAACACGAGTGTGTGGTCACGTTCTTCGGACTGCGATCGACTTCGACGAGCACTTCGTCAAAGTTACTTCGCGACTAGTGTAGAGGAAGCATAAAGCTTCATGGTCATTGCAGCCTTTCAAAATTCACTAATGAAAATAGGCCATTTGAACAATTGCATTTCCAAGGTTAAGTTTTTAACAGTGGTAGAGCCACGCAGCAGCTTTTGCTGTCACACGGATGGGCCGGCTCGAACCGGGGTGGTACCACGACCTCTCAGAAAACCAGCGTGAAGTAGAGGTTTACCTCTACGTTTCGCTTGGTGAGTGCAGGTGGCCGGAAACCCTTTTTACTGGCATTCCATCTTAGTCCTCACGGGTGACAACGCATCTACATTTTGATTTGTAATAGAGGATAGATGTAGATGTCTATGGGCCGCAGCAACCACTTACCATCAGGTGGACTGTGTGCTCGTTTGTCACCCTTATCCTATAAAAAAAAGTGCTATTGTCTGAAATGGTTCTTATAACAAAAATCTTTTTACCATATTATGTGTTACAAACAGTCCTGTATGCAGTGTGCACGTAGAAAGAAAAAACATCTCAGCATACTGAGGTCGCCTCTTAGATTATTAAGTGTTTGACGTTGACGAAATATTTCAAATTTCAAGTTTCATCGTCATCACGATATTTATCTTCATAACCAAGTTTTTGTAAGTATCACTTAAAAAATAATAATAAGTATGGTGTCCATTACTGTCTCAGAAGTGAGGTTGATGTACTACATTGCTAAATATCTTTAGTTCTTATTAAATATACAATAATTAAATTATTGTTAGAAAATTACATGAAAGACTTACATTTTGTTAAAGATCTATGAGATACACAAGTAATCACTGAAATATAATTTCTGGAGACATAAGATTTATTATGTACCTTGTTCACGATCCCTGGTGCGTGGTCCTTCAGAAAAACCAATTATGCGAGTGGCAGGCGAGGTAAACGAAGTTGTGCGACGAGATGTCGTCGTATTTGATCGATTGCTATCCGCGTTGGAGTTTCCAGCGTTGTTTGAAGTGAGGGATGCGCCGAATCTATGTGGAAAATATAAAAAAAATATTTCTGTATTTTTAAAATGTCTCACATTCTTATAAAAAAAGTAATTTATAATTTGTCTCAGGTCTAGAGTTTCTTTAAACAAAGAAGTCCCATGGAGAATATGCAAACTAATAGAATATGAAAAATATCGTGAAGATTTTGAAGTTGCGGCTAAGGGACTTTTTTCGTGACAAAGACTTTCTTTAAACCTGATGGAACGTTTAAATACTCGCCGAGCACAGAAGAGTAGGCACGAGTACGAACATATAAACGACTTGTTCGGACGTGCTCGCTACCTCTCGCCTGTTTTAAGGTACGTTGGGGTAATACCGGACGGATTTTCGAATAGTTGGAAGAGTCTGCCAAAAACTTTAATTTCTCGACATTCGTATACGTCAGATTTATGGAACATGGAGCAAACCGTTAATCGTTAAACGTAGTTTAGCTCTGAGAATCTTTTGTTTGTGTAAACTCAACGGTTTCTGCTTTAAAGGTGTGCGAAAACTAGACATACTTTTTTATATGCATAATGAAAAATTGGCCATTAAGGGGTAAGACCGGACTTAAATTTAAAACCACTTCTACTGCTTAGAGAAAAAAGTTTATAAAAGAGATTTGTCCTATCTTTAATGCTCAAAAACATATTTCAATATGATCTATAAATTACTAGAAACATAAATGTTCCAAACGATTTTCTCTTTTTTTGTTTCTTGCCATCCGATCTTATCCCTGATATAAAGAAATTGTAATTTTATGTTTCTCAAACTTTGTTATGACATAAGATGGAATTACTCAATATAAGAGAAAGATCGGATGCATTTGATTTTATATGGGGAAAAAAATAACAGTAAGGACTGGCGAAATGCCCTGGGATAATGCAGGAGTTAAGGAAGATATAAATATTTTAACAAAGCGACATTTATTATTATAAATTATTTTTTAAATAATTATTATAAATTACATTTTGATTTGTAATAGAGGATAGATATAGATGTCTATGGGCCGCAGCAATCACTTAACATCAGGTGGACTGTGTGCTCCTTTGTCACCCTTATCCTATAAAAAAAATGTATTTTAGTGTACTTAAAAGTAATAAAACCATCGTATTGTTTTATTACTTTTAAATATACAGACTTGCTAACGAGACTGAGTCCCATAGTCACTTGAGTAATCAACGAAAAAATATACACGACCAATGAAAGTTTAACAACCACTGCCATATTTGTAACAGGCAAAGATCGGATAATATTCATCCGATCTTCACTCACGAGGGGAAACATCGGATCTCGGCCTACAGCGATCTTACCCCTGCATGGACCAGCTTTATTTAGCTATAACTTCATAAAACTTAGTATCCACACAAAATAATAACAAAAGAAGCCATATTCTCGCTAAAAATCGTAAATAAAAGTGATAGGGAAAGATCGGATGGACAAAAATAATACAAAAATTACATTGTTTTATAAAATGCCACGCAGCACAGGTCCCACTTGCCGGAGTGACTGGCGCGAACTGAGGGTCGGGGCAGGATGAAATGGCGTCGTGTAGCATATTGTTAGCTTTTCAAAATATAGCATAATTCGCCGGGAATTTGAATCCTACGGTCTTGCCCCATCACCGATCTTACCCCAACGTACCTTACTATACGCCTGTTCTCCACTCGATGTCGGTTTTTAACACGAATCAAAAGAATGTTCGTGTGTATTTGTATCGGTGTTACATACTTATCATTATTCACTAGACTTTGTCGCAAGTAGTTATTTTATCTTATAAAATAATAAAAGAAAAGTAATAATAAAAAGCCTACTGTGATGGAATGGAGTAACAAATCCACTGTTAATTTTATCGAACTTTATCACGGAGAACCAGTGAAAGAAATAAATATCTGTGAGCCTATAAATATTAGAGGCGTATGTTATCCATATTCCATAAGTTATATCTTATATCCATAAGTTCTCCATTGAACGAATACAGACGAATATGTAAACGCGTCATACTTGTCCACTAATAATACTGCGAGTTATTCGGTGAGTTTTTATATGTAGCAAATATAGAAAATAAAATATATTCCTATCTACAAACCACAAACTTCCATAGAAGTAGGCCTATGTTCAATAGCGGACTTTTGATCGGTTGTAAGAAAAATATACTAGCTGTCTTGGCAGACGTTCTGCCCATTCCAAGGTGGTGGAATAGGTAAAATTTCAATAAAACATAAATTTATTAATAACCGCTCGACCACAGTTATTGGCCTTTCGGATCCTAGTGCATCTATGAACTATGAAACATTGTCTAAAAAAAAATATATTGTATAAATATGAACTCAATTGGTCAAGTTGTTTGTGAGACAATCACTAAAAGATGCATCAACGATTATACATAATATTATGGTTAAGTACCAGCTAGTAATTATTAATAGTAACTAATTAGATTAAAAATAAATAAATTGTGATATTTACCTCAACTGCGCTTCAGTAGCATCCATAACAGTAACAAGCCAGTCCCAAGTGGGTTTCAGTTGGCGTTCTAGATAGCATTGCAAGCGAAGTGCCTCACGGTATGCCAGTGGTACCATGCGAGGCATTGGCAAGGTAAAACGTTCATACTCCCACAGCAGATCAGCAATTTGTCGAATAACAATACCTTAAAAATTTTAAATAAAGATTATTGTTAAAATTGTTTGTTAGGAATATTCAATCTTCTTCAAAAGTTATCACGAAAGTATCATGTCCACTTTCCATACATTGATTGACCTTTCACTAGATTCGTTATACAGGTCGTGTCTATCTACAACTAATGTTGTATTAAACAATTATTGTTTATAACATAATAACTTATCATTTTTTCATTTAGAGGCCAGGGAATTAATAAGTTTACAACAGCTGTCACATAAGATCTGACTGATGTCATAACCTCAAAAACTATATGATAATTAAAATCAAATTGTTTCTTAATCGCCGAGAGGGAAAAGCGATAACGTCTTAGATCTCAATGAAAATGCACTAAATCGGTATCCGTATAACACAGGCCAAAGTAATCATAAGTGCAAGGTATCAAAGTCCGTGGAAAATGCAATAGTACAACTATGATTATCAGAAAATCCAAAATCGCACAGTACAATACGTGTGTAGAGGTAAGAAGAACCGTCTCATATGGAGGGGAAGGTTAAGAAAGTGTCCAACTGTATACTAAAAATAGAGCTTTCAAAACTTTCCACAATAGCACTGGCTTCTGAAAACTACAATATGAACATAGCTGTTGTAGACGTTGTTATAGTTGTTGTAGAGTTCAAAAATTTTAAATAGTTTTATGACTGCTATAGTTAGTAAAATGCCAGTATACAAAACCTCAACTATTTAAAATAATTAAGTAAATATAACCAAAAAAACGCTGTGAGAAAATGTGATTTTATTAGTGTGACTTTTTTAAAATGATTATTAGTGATTTTTATATATATTTTTGTGGTGATAGTTATAAAACATTATAAAATAATTAAAAAGTAATGGGGAAAACTTGTATTGTGTAAAGTTGTCCAAGTGGACGTAAAATAAAAACTACAAAAAATGGTTCGCCTCAGCTTTTGTCTTTTTTCCGACCTACTATATGTTGAGTAATATTTTGAATTATTTATTTAATTTACGACTGCCTGATTGAGAAATCGAATTTAAAATAATTCAATTCATGCAAAGTGTATATTTATATAGTATTTCACACCTTGATTATTTCCCCATCTTATTCTAATTACTTTTGACGCTTTTTTAAATGTATCCTATGTTACCGCAGCGCCATCTTATTGGACGCGTTTTTGTGGACACTTATTCATACACAGAGATGGTTCTCCTTACCTCTACACTCCATAAATACGTAGCAAGAGCAAACGAACGACTGCAAAACGTAAAACAAATGACATAAACATATTTTTGTCATGGCTTCTGGGCCTTTGTGTCATTGTAAAACACCTTCCGTCAAGTCTATTGAGAATGATAAACATAGTAACATTACTTTTTTCCTGGTTTTATTTGAAAATTCAATTATGCGATATAAAATAACAAAAAAAAGCAATTTTATGAGATGTTTTATATCACTAGACGCGTTAGAAAACTTTCAGGTCAAGACTAGACATGATTCTTTTACTATTTTTATATTAGCATAAAGGACAGAGACAGTTTAGTATTAAGAAATGAGCTCAAGTTATAATTATTTAGGATCTACTTAACCAGCCATTTAAGTGTTTCACACCTTGGCTATTTTTAATGCATTTTGATTCATAATCGAGGATAGATGTAGATGTCTATGGGCCACAGCATCCATTTACCATCAGGTGGACTGTGTGTGCTCATCCCCATGTATCGGTATTGTGTCGTTAAATGAAAGACTTCTAGATAATATCAGGTATGTCGGTGCATTCAAGTAATATGTACTACGGACTAGAAGTGTGACGCCGTGACTTCCTGCAGGCTCAAACTTACTTAGTCTGTGCCATAAAAAGGTACTTTGTGCCCACTTCCACGCGCCTCGCACTGCCGTACAGATTTTGTTCGCGGTCTATATTCTCTTATTTAGCACATATTATTTCAATGTGTCAGTGACGAAACATCGTTATTGGGTATCGGGCCAAAGAAAACGCGTTTTTACTGATCGCTCGACTCGCAGCTAGGCCCCCGCTGCTACCCCGCGTCGCTGTTAAGTAACTCGCATAACTCAACAAGATCCACCATAGCATCCAAACATAATATATCATGTGGCTTACCGAAGGCGCGCGCGAGGAAGGCGGCGGTGGTGGAGGTGGAGTGGGGGTCGTGCGCGCCGGCGGCGGCCGCGGCGGCCGAGCGGCGCAGCGACGCCGGGTCGATGAACACCAGCGACGAGCCGCCCGTCAGCCGCACGCCGCCCGTGCTGCTCGTAGTGCCGCGCGACGTCTCACGCGAACTGTGGTACATGTTACCGTTACCTTTACAGCCTTTTAAAAGTCCACTGCTGAACATAGGCGTCTCTTATAGATTGTATGCATAGAGGCAACTAAACGGTATTAGAGCCACACTCACACACCGAATACCAACGTAAAATAGCAGCTTAATACTGCTGTGTTTCGTATGGTGAGTGTAGAGAACCGGAGACCCTTTTTACTGGAAATGAGGCATTCCATCTTAGTCCTCAGGGGTGACAACGCATCTGCATCTAGATTCTTAATCGAGGATAAAAAATTTAGATATCTATGGGCCACAGCATCTACTTACCATCAGGTGGACTGTGTGCTCGTTTGCCACCCATATTCTATAAAAAAAAGACAAAAAAAAAGAAAAATTGCTGCTGGAGTTTGTATGGTTTAGGGGCGAAAACGAAAGAAGCGGAAGTGGAAAACGGTTGACGTAGTAATTTACTGGCTTCGCGATAGTGGAAAAATCACTGATAACTGCCTCGTTAATATATTGGTCGTAAACGCAACTGCTGATCAGGGTTCAAATCCCGAGTCGGGTCAAAATCAGTTATTGGGTTTTTCTCTTAAGAAATTCTCAATAGCAGTCGTAGTCAGAAAGTCTGGCGAGGAAATAGAGAGTGCAACCAGGCTGGTGCAACTTCCATAGTAAAAATTATATGTACTATAGGGGTCAAATTTTAATGACGGTTACTCTTCTTTATGCTTTTCGTGATATGTCTATTAACGACATTGACAAATGAAATAGGTTCAAATGTCAAATCAAACAATTATATTTGTATATATTTTATTAATTAAGATTGCTTTTAATTTTGCTATAGGAGCCGTTGTTCATTTACAGAATTGTAAAGAAATTAAATATAAAACTTTCCAATTAAATGGTGCAAGAAGCGGAAAAAATGATAACAAGAAAAGGCTATTCGTAACAATATTTCCCTTAGATGATGAAAGGCATGTGGTGATTTCAACTTTAATAGTAATATGATATTCAACGCGAGTATATTTTTGGACTAGCCATCTATGTAGAACAGGTTTTTATACTGTACGATTGTGTGCACAAATACAAGCACACTATTTCCTAAATCTGATAGTTCAATGGTTTGGCAATCCGAAACGAACTATACTTACAAACTACAAGTCAATTCTGACTACTAACATTCTATTTGTTCAATAATAATGTGATTTTATTTATATTATTTTTTCAGATGCAAGCAATGGGTGAAATAGCTGGCACATGTACCAATTGAAAAGATTCACATGTTAAGACATATTTGTAACAAACATTGCATATGAACCCAACTAAAACGAACTGTTATTTCTTTAGTGGACTTACTTTAAACTTCCACAATTTATGTGTATGTTAATTAGGTTTCATTTACATGTAGCAAAAGATAATATTCCTTTAAAGTCACATTTTGGCAAGAATTAGATTATATAACTAAATCATTATTTTATTCATCAATAAACATTAGCTATAATGAGCACTTATTTTGAAAGCGACAATTAGTAAACGATCTCTGCGAATAGTATGTACATAGGTGCCTCTGTGAAGAAGCCTAGCGATTTGTATATAGTATTTGTTACACATAATAGCAATTTAATCCAAACAGTATTAAAAACCCAATATTTTTACCCTTAAAAAACTAACGTTGAAAACAAGCATCCAGACGCAGACTATTTATTTTACAGCATAGCAACAATTGTTCAGTGCGGGAAGGAAGCCTCGGTCCTGCAATGCCGCAGCCAAACGCTTAGCCACTGCGCTACGGAATCGTCATTTATTTTTTACTTAATTAATTACTAGTATAAAAGTGCGGTTTTTATTTTATATTTTCTTTATACATACCTTTGTACCTAATTGTAGAGATATAAATACAAATTGCTGTGTGTAAAATACATTGATTTTTTATCCTCATCGGCATTTTTACTCAATCCACACATTAAAAATTTTATTTCTCATAAATAATTCAGTATAGAGATCTAACTTTTCATAAGTAAAAATATCGATAAACAATATATCGATAAAGGTTATATCGATAAAATTATTCGAGGGTAGACATTTACAGCACTATTGTAATTCGTCAATGTTGTCAGCACTGTTTCTCAAAACTAAATGTCATATCTTGATGTTGGTAGAGTAACTTGGCGTAATTTCATGCAATTATTTTTACTATGGAAGTCCCGCCTCTTATACGTAGTGATTATATTCTCTTTGAGTGCAACTATATATTTGCGCACACATTCGACATTCTAATCCTGTACTGTGCAGATGGCTACCGTGTAGTGGCGGTGTAAGAATATCCACTACCCACCACACACCCCGTGGCTGTCATAAGAGGCGACAGAGGAAACCAAATCAGGAGATGATAAATATTAAGAATATCTTCTGGATCAAATTTCGATCAAGGCCTTAATAAAGACTAGCTATCGTGTGGGCCATTTTAGTGGCGCCATTTTAACGCGCGGCCTACCTAGTCCTTACACAGTAACATAATATATAATGCCATACGGATGGATATAAAAGAGAGGCTTGTTTGTAGTTAGTAGGTTGTATTGCACTAACCGTATGGCCCACTGCATGGAGTGCGGCGCGAGGTTGGGGCGGGGCGGCGGCGCGGCGCGTCGCTCGAGCGGCTCGCCGTCGTGCAGCGGCGCCTCCGCCTCGCCGTCCTGCTCGTCCGTCTCGCCCGCCTCCGAGTCCTCGTCCTCCGGCTGCGTCGAGTCGCCGCTCTCGTCCTCTGGATACATTAGCAGCGATGCTATACCTGTCGCGGTCGCGCCGTGCATTACTTTTAACATTTCTAACTACTCTACTCATCGTGCGGGTACCGACCGCTTCCATGTCAGATCCGAGTCGCTTCACGATGTCGCATCACGCCGACCATAAGTCGCGTCAATTCCACTTCCTTTTTTTATTTGGTTACAAATAATATCCATTCCAAAAAATAATTTTAAACAAAATAAGAAAAATAAAGGAGAATTAATAAAATAAAATAAAGTAGGAGTTTTACAGTTCAAAAAACTAAAGAAGGGAGCAAACAAATAGGACATGCAGAAAGTGTATACCCTGTAATCACTATATTATTATAGCGCAATTTACATACCAGCATCAGAACCCTGCGTAGCACCAGTTTGTACACTACGTTGCGCAGATTCGGCATTGTCCTGGTCATCAGAGTCACTTTCGGTCTCCACTTCAGCCAGTAAATCTAGTTCACTTTCACTTTCACCACCCTCAGCACGTTCTGTTCCATTTTCAACCACCACATGTTGTTCTTGTCCTCTACAAGTTAAAAACCACAATTATAATATGGGATTGGAATTTGAATAACCGTGATACTCATTTTGAATTTACTAACATATAAAAAAAATCCACACTGCTAAAATTAATCAATTGTAATTTAGATACTGATGTCGTTCAAGTACTGCTTAATGGATGTTACTTCATAAATTTACAGTCGTAATAAATAAAAACCAACTGATAAATCAATTACACTATTGATTCATAAGTGACGTGTTTCAAGCTTGGTGGGATAGGATAAGAATTTTTGGAATAAATTGTATATAGAAATTATATGGAAAAATGCATACGACACAAACGCTCTAACGAGACGGGGAGGGAAGTGGCACGCACGGAGCGGAAATGATTTCATCGGCGAAGATGTTTAGACCCTGCCTCGGGCTTGTCACGTCCCGTGAGTGGTTAATCAGAACTATGCACAGTCCCTCCTCAAATCTAGTAGTGATGCGTGTGTCTTATTTATAAAGAAAGCAAAATAAAGAACAAAAACTTAAAAGAATTTATCCAATCACATCAAGCTTTATGTATATGTATGAATAATTTAACAACCAAAGTGCACTCCGCTTTTTTGGTGTGATATATACATAACATATCTTCTTCATAAAGGCTCTGGTAGTTCATCATCTAAAACAGCAGCAATGAATGTCAATTCTTCAAATGAATTGTCCCATGGTCTGGGACTATAGGTCCAATGTTTATGTGGGACATATAACAAAAAAGTATGTGCCACATATATTACTTGTCTAGGATAAATTGAATATTGGATTTATGATTGTGTAGACGATGGGCTAGCCCCCTATCACATTCTTTACAATTTTCCATCGAAACCCATTTTTTTGGCTAGATGTAACCCGAGTAGGGCCACGTTTAGCCAAAAAATAAAATGGGTTTCGATAACGCCGTTACGTATACACTTAAATTAGGATCGCAATTAAAGTTACCTTTCACCCATAGCATCGTCATGCTGTGCATCGGGAGCGGGTACCGGTGCTGGTATGTTAGGCTCGTCTGTCTCCGAGGCGTCATCGTCACCGCCGAGCGCTTCGCCCGCTACGTCGTCCGCATACTCTGTGGCCACGGGCGTTGATGACCGGTCTGGAGCCAATGTGGAACTGCCCATAGACGCGCCACCGGTAGCGGCGCCGCGGCCCCCGCCCGTGGTGGATTCTCTGCTCGTAAGTAAAAATCATTATAGAAACATTCCATTATACATTTTAGTTTGATACTACACAATTGTATAGATTATAAGCAGTTAGTTGTTATGCTACGGTTAACAGTTTTACCAGGTAGGTGAATGTCATTTTTTCATCTTTCTGATCATCGAGGTTAGCCTTATCGAAATTCTACAATGCTAAAAGATATGTAATACTAAAATGAAATCAACGTTAAGTCACGTGAGAGACGCGTAACGTAACGCGTTAGTATTGATATAGATACTTCCTATGCAAAGGACAATGCCAGATCATGCTCCACCTTGTACAAAAAAGGTAAATGTATGTAAAATAATCTTATGACTAATGGACTTTTTTGTAACAAACCTTTATTTTGTACAAATTGCGGTAAAATACTAATTAAAAAAAAAAGGAATTCAACGGTTTATATTTTATCATTTCCAGTATTTCAAATAGCATATGCATTTCTTTATACGAATTAGTAAATATGCACTCTTAAAGTAAGTGTAGTTAGTACTTATTTAATTTAAAATAGATAAATATTTGAAAAAAAAAACCTTATTTACCAATTTCTACTGTTATTATTACAAACCATCAATTATACTTTGAAAATAATTATGAATTAAATTAAATCATTACTGAATTACATTTTGTGTAAAGATACACACACGTCATTGCGTTAAATATTATTAGTACCTAGGCATGACAAATAAATGTAATTTATTTTTACACGTTGACTGATTTGTGTTTGTAAAACATCATTATCATTCATTATTACAGCCTTTCATAAGTCCACTGCTGAACATAGGCCTCCCCCAAGGAATGCCACAAAGCACGGTCCTGAGCCACCTGCATCCATCAATTTCCTGCATGTCTTACCAGGTCGTCACTCCATCTCGTGGGTCGTCGCCCTAAACTTCGCCTACCAGTACGAGGCTGCCACTCAAGAACCTTTCTTCCCCATCGGTTGTCGGTTCTTCGAGCTATATGGCCGGCCCACTGCCACTTCAGCTTACTAATCCATTGGGCTATGTCGGTTACTCTGGTTCTACTGCGGATATACTCATTTCTAAGTTCATCACGCAGAGAAACCCCGCGCATAGCACTCTTCATAGCTCGCTGAGCGACCTTGAGCTTCCTCATACAGGCAGCAGTGAAGGACCACGTCTCAGATCCGTAAGTCATCACTGGCAACACGCACTGGTTGTACAATTTCGTTTTAAGGTTTTGTAAAACATATGGAAACATAATTATTTATCATATTCTCTTCGTGTTTGTGCTGATCACTCGCAGCTGATCTTGAGATGCAGTAATTTTCATATTTGCGTCGACAGGATGCGACATGTTGGAGACATGTTATGTCCTCAAGCCATCACATTATAAACTCTTTTTCCAGCATGAAGTAATTTACAAGTTTAGTACAGGTATGTTTAGTTTAATAGCTATTTATATAGTTGATTTAATTGAGTACTGTCTTTGTTTATAAAACTAAATATTTACACCTTCAGTAACATATCATAATATTTAATAACTAGCTGTTACCCGCAACTTCGCCCGCGTGTTGTTTGGAGTTTTAATTTTTTTTGCGCGGAACCCTAATTCTTTTTCTAAAATAAAAGTAGCCTAAGTTACGCCTTGTGACATCAGCCGTTTCCGAGATTAGCTGGAACAAACAGACAGACAGACAGACAAAAACCTTAAAAAATTTATTTTTGTTATTAGTACCGTATATTCTTTCATATGCATTTAGTAAAAAGCTGTAATTTTGATATTACAAACAGACACTTCAATTTTATTTATTTGTATAGATTTGACTATAAACAATATAACACATTTACTTGACTTGGACCCCAAGCAGTTATCTGTAAAGAGTGCTCAATACTTCTTAGCAAACATGGTAGAAATGGAAATATAATGCTAAAGAATAAATGGGGCACACACATTTGCCTAGGATATGGACGGTTTGTCTTGGAAGCAAAACATATAAGATTTCACACAGTTGGAAGTCAATGATCCATGAAATATCTATGCCTACTTAATGAGGTTTGTAGTATCTTATATTATATTTTGATTCCGGGCCGTGCTTTGCTGCAAGCTGTTTTTGACTAAATATTGATTATGATGGACAATGTCTAACAAGATTGTGATATTGTTTCACTTGCTAACTTACATGCCAATCAAGGCATCTATGGTAAATAAGCTCCCATCCCAATGAGGCAATTTATGGGAAAAGCCTATGTGATGAAATGTATAAATTGAACATGGACAAACACTTGGACTTGACACAATTAGACTTATCTTCAAAATTTAACCAATATTTAACATCTTTCATTTTTAATCCATTTTTTAAGATGTAATTTTTAATCGATAAATGCAAAAGAGCATTAAATAACAATTCTCTTTTGATTTTCAAAAGGTACATTTTATTGCAGGTGTTATCAAGATATTCATTTTAATGCCATCAGTACTGAATGCGTGATACTCATCAACTTTCCTTCAATAAAGGTGACAACGCTCGATTGAAGAACTACAATATGTAAATACAAACTCAAAGCTTCTTGATAAAATATGTAATATTTCAATTTATTTAATACAATAATAAAACATAGAGGTGACATACGGACGGAGGGCTTAGAGCTCCACGAGATTAAAAGGTGGTAATTTTACGCTCCAAAGGAGATCCGCTACAATATAGAAGCTAGAAAGAAACAAAAATGAAACTACCAAAAGGAGCTCTTAAGAAATAGTGAATTAACAGGAAAATCCCTCACCCGAACATCCACCCAGCTGTCAAATTAAAATATAATTTGTGTGTTGTTATTTTTCTCCAGACCTATCAGCAATAGTCCCACAAAAGCCCACCACTGATAGTAGGGTGAATCTGTATAAATTATTTCGATTTATTTTGTGGTGTATATCATTGTCACATCGTAATAAAATCTACCGCATCTTCATATTCTGTGTACAATGTAGCAAAGGTCACAGCCTACCTTACGGTAAGTGACACACATATACACCTAAACAGCGAACTTCACACACTTCTGCCTTACAGCCTGTAATTATACCGACTCTCTCTACCAGTGATTCCCAACCAGTGGTCCGCAAGAGCTTATATATGGTCCGCGAAATATTTAAATATTTTACTTTTAAAATAAATACACAAATAATACTGTGAATGAATGCTTCTTTTCAGTTTATTGTATGATAATGTTAAAAAAGTTGTGATTAAAATTTATTGTTAGATTAACATTTATAGATTTTTTTCTTCACTTTGTGGTCCTGCTAACAACAAAGAAATGAAAGTGGTCCCTGGTCAAAAGGTTGAGAAATGCTGCTCTAAACCCTTCAGCCTAGTACACAGCAGTGGACGCACTGCCCCTGCACCTTGTCGATTGACACGGGTAAGTGTGTCATACCTACCTAAACGTATTCCTAGGCAGAAAAAAGTCCTACCATCTATGAAATGCTGATGTCGAAAAACAAGGTATAGACACAACATTACACAAAGTAATATTTACGTAACGGATTCCGCCTATTTGTGGTCAAGGAATGGTCGATCGTATAATTGTTTCATACAAACCCAAAGAAAGTTTATTTCGGATCCTAAAATCCTTATTAACACATTTTTATTAGCGCCTGACAGTTTACAGATTGCAATTACAATTAAATGTCACGAATGCTATTATAATATATAAGGTAAATGTACTTGTAAAAGTTCAATTTAAAAAGAATCTCAAGTTCTAGAAACTTTAACTTATACAATTTGGATAAAGTAATAAAACAGCAAAAAAAATTACGCATATGGTATTGATGTATACCACACTTTTAGGTGGGCCATAGTTCTGTAGAGATTATGACATTGTCCTTTTTATAGTTTTACTTGTCAATATACTGTAGAAAGTTAAAATGGCTACCGACGAGCAAGGCTCTAGATATGAACTGATTGCGGAAAATCAATCCAAAAACGATGAGCACAAATATCACACACTAAACAGCTAGAATTAGTCTTTGCCGCCAGGCCAACATGCTGAGTATGGGCAAATCTTGAAAGAAATGCATGTCAGCTTACACATTCTTGGACATAGGCCTTTTAGAAACTATAGTTTAACAAAAAAGGGAACACACCTGCGAGTATGGGAAAGACGTGTATGTCCCGTAGAAAGAGGTTCGACTCCAAATAAATCTTCACTGCCATTTACAAGATCTACATAAGTTGTGGCCAGTGGGAATGGAGCTGTCGGTCGCACAACGCCAAGACGAACTGGAGCGAGTAGTGCATCTGCTGCTTCTACAAGTTCTTCCACGGCGAGAGCTACTAGCGCTGCGAATACACGTCGACAGCGGACTAATGACGATGTTATAGATAGAGGCCTGTGGATGAGAAAGAAAGTGAAATGTAGAAATAAAGAATTAAGATTCTTTTCAAATTGGTTTTAAACATTTAAATGTATATGTACCAATATATGGTACCACTTTAAATACTTCTAATTATGCCATTTACAAAAATGTAAATCATATAATTTCATACTTGCATTTACAAAAGAATGGCGTCACATCAGCTTTTCAACAGTAAGACTGTGTTTTTATTTCTTTAATTAAACATTATATTGTAACAAAACAATTGTAAATCGATAATAAAAAGCTTACCCTTTTTTCTTCGCTGCACCTGGCGCCATTTCAACACTGAAAATAACGAAAATTCTAGCAACCGAACGCACAAATCGACGCGCCACTTCACGGGCACGTTCTGCGCGTCCCGGTATAGAGTCATTTTGTTGTTCTCTTATTAGCGTATGCAATAGTGTGTCTAGCATCTGAAATAAACATAGTTGGTAATTATATCAAGTATTAATAATTATTATAAAATATAATAATTAATCATTCGAAATCTGTGTAAAACGCTATGAATAATTTTCCATAACTGTCGCAAGATTTCACCTGAGAATTACCTATGACGTTAAGATCAACATTATCCTTTCAATAATTTTTCCTTGTTACCCTTTAATATTCACTTCTAAATATAGGTATTCCCATGAATGCGTCAATTATACAGAACCTAAAACTGACTGTTGGCGACGCGCTTAAAATAGGTAATCATTTTTCATTTCGTAAAAAATAAATAATTTTGTTTTGAAGTTATTGCTATTAAATTATATAAGGCACTCCGAATAAAGAGATAATCTATGTTAAAAGTAAATAGATTCAATATAACGTCGAACGAAAGTTCGGAGCTACCACACAGCCACACACAGTAATAATATAAAATATTATTTGAAATAGTGATTATTTGAATCAATAGTGTGCTGCTTACGTCGTTAGTGCACTTGACAATGAGAGCGTGTGTGAATTTGTCGAGCAGTGTGGTGCCGGACTGATTGAGCGAGGGGCTGTTGGGTCGGCTCTCACTCTCTCCGCAGCTCGCGCCGCACATCACCGCCGCCTCCACGGCAGCCCAGTCACCTGTTACATAAAGAATTTATCCAAAAAACTGTTACACAAGAAGTTAAGAAATATAGAAATATTTAAACAATGTATAAGTTAGTAGAGTGCTACTGAAATGTCCGGAGGTCGCTACATACTGGGCTAAACATCTCGGCACGCCGGGATCACTCCCCGAAATTACATGCAACATTAAAGGACTGTTGAGCTTCTTCGGGAAGATCTCATGGCTCGAATAATCACATTATTCCTACTCACACGCAAAATACGCGCATAGACGTGGAGTTGCGGAAAACAGTCCTTAGTAAACTAAAAGTTAGTAGAGACAGTGGAAAACAGATTTGGAGAGTTACTCACTAGATACTACTAGAAATGTCTTTATTTAACTGTTTCTTTGTTATTATTTTGGAGAGGTTATTTAAATTATACTGACAATGAAATATATTATATTACAAAAATATTTAAGATCCTTGCTTAAGTTAGAATGATACAAGAAGTATATTGTGCACGGTTAAATTCTGAGCTTAGACTTAAGACACTAAGAACAACTAATGTTTTCGATGTTTTTAGCTAAGTCCACTATTTCTTTGATATTTCCCGCAGTAGAAACAGAGTAATCAACAGAGTGCCTCAGTAAATTAATTTGCCCGTCTTATTGTTTTGGTGGAGTACTAATGTTGGGCACGCACCAACTGAACGAGAGCAAGTAAAGGCTATAATAAACGAGCGGGTGTGGACTTTTCACTGCAGGCGGGCGAATGTGTATGAAGACCTTCGTTCGCTTTCGTCTTTTCTTCGATTGGTGTTTCGAAGGAAAATAGCATGAATATATAGTACCAGCCACTTTCTTGACTTCGCTCGCTTTCGTTCCGTTGTTCTGGTAGGGACATATTACAAGTGGAGGTACCGAGCAGGTGCAGGAGCGCGCGGCGGGCGAAGCGCGGCGGCTCGAGGTCGTGGTCGGGCGCGTCCACCTCGGCGTCGGAGCCGGGCTGCTTGCGCGGCGCGCGCCCGCGCCCGCCGCCCGCGCGGAACTGCCGCTGCTCCACCGTCTGCCGCCCCACCGTCTGCACCAGGAACAGCAGGATCGACTCGCCCCTGACAACATCGTAGCGATCGCACATTACTTACACACGCCCACAATGTGTTTCTGTCGATTGATTTTTTTGAAACCTGATTAATTTGTATTATGCTACTTTTCATAGCGTCGCAGAACTTGGTCGTTTTCCATTTTTAGATTTTTTTTTATAGAATAAGTGTGAGAAGCGAGCACACAGTCCACCTGGTAAGTAGTTGCTGTGGCCCATAGACATCTACATCTATCCTCGTTTGCGAATAAAATGCAGATGCGTTGTCAGCCGTGGGGACTAACTAATATGGAATGCCTATTATTCTGTGAGGGCGTGGTCCTTCCCCTGTCGAGTCGACCCATTCGTGCTACAACCGTACTATTGATACAGCTATAGCAAGGCTCTACCAGTATAATTACGTGGTACATAGGCTGCACTAAAATTATCGGGAATGGAATATTTCCACTGTTCCTGTCATATTAAAATCTTTTTAATTGAAAAGTCCTTGGTTTTTTAAAATCGAATACCATTTATTTATTTAAAAAAAGATTCTCGGTCTTGTCACAAGGTTTTGTCAAACTTGTTTAGTCATTGAGAAAATGGAATTGACTCGAGAAAATTCAAGAGCGATGATTTATTGTGACTTTCGAAGTGGTTTAACACAAAAACAGTGTGTTGACCGGATGATTTCTGCATTTGGTGATGAAGCCCCATCCAAAACCACAATTTATCGCTGGTTTGCTGAATTTCAACGTGGACGTGTCAAGCTCAGTGATGATCCCCGTCAAGGTCGTCCAAAAACTGCAGTCACCCAAGAAAACGTTGATGCTGTGCGTAAGCTGATTGAGGAAGATCGACATGTGACATACCGCGAAATTCAGACAACTTTAGACATTGGCATGAGTCAAATACAAATAATCTTGCATGAACAATTAGGTGTAAAAAAGTTGTTTTCCCGATGGATACCGCATTCGCTCTGTGAAGAGCAAAAAGCGGCTCGCGTTTCTTGGTGCGTCAGAACTCTCGAAAGATTCCACGCAAGATCCTCAAATGCTGTATACAACATCGTATCAGGTGACGAATCCTGGATATACGCGTACGAACCCGAAACAAAAAACCAGTCACGAGTTTGGGTGTTCGAAAAAGAGTTAAAGCCAACAAAAATTGTTCGTTCACGGAGTGTTGCAAAAAAAATGGTGGCCACGTTTGTCTCCAAAACCGGCCATGTTACGACTATTCCTCTTGAGGGACAAAGAACGGTTAATGCAGAATGGTATGCTAGCATTTGTTTGCCACAGGTCGTTTCTGAACTCCGTAAAGAGAACTGCAACCGCCGCATCATCCTCCATCACGAGAATGCGAGTTCTCACACCGCACACAGAACAAATGAATTTTTAGAGCAAGAAAACATAGAATTATTAGACCATCCGCCGTACAGCCCCGACCTAAGCCCTAATGATTTCTATACTTTCCCTAAAATAAAGAATAAATTGCGTGGACAGAGATTTTCATCACCTGAAGAAGCTGTGGACGCCTACAAAACGGCCATTTTGGAGACCCCAACTTCCGAATGGAATGGTTGCTTCAATGATTGGTTCCATCGTATGGAAAAATGTGTCAAATTTCGCGGAGAATACTTCGAAAAGCAATAAATACATTTTTAAATAGTAATGTTGTGTTACTTCCTTGATTCCCGAAATTTTCAGTGCCGCCCTCGTAGAGCCATGATATGTATATTTTTGAATAATAAAATATTTTATTATTCGAAAATATACAATGTGTATCGAAACTATATAATGTTTATTTAATTACAAGATGGTTAGACATTGTTTATTATTTTTTTCATATAAATTCTATGAAAAAGGCTTTGATTTTACGATTGGAAAAGTTCAGAGCGTAAGGAGCACGTAAAATATTACTTAAATACAAAATTTTATCAAGATGAAACCAATTATTTAAAGGTGTATAAAACATGTATTAATATACATAATTTATTTAACTAATTTGTACCTCGAGTTAAAATGTGTAGCTAGTTGGGTGTCTCTCGCGAGCCTTGCTAACAGGTCACATCGTGCAGTCCAATTGCCTCCAACAAGTGCCTTGCATCTGCACTTCTCCCAACAGTCGCAATAAGCTGTAGGCGACGTACGCTTTAATTTGCAATCATGACCCTTGTGACAAACCTACAAAATGGAACAAAATTATAGATTATTGTATCTGCGAAATTCTTTATAATAATAGAAACATAAACAAATATAAACCTTAGCGCATTCTGTGCAGCAACAAAGAGATCCAGTTAGTCCACAAGTCTTGCATTCAAAAATGTCCTGTTAAAATTATAAACAAAATTTTATTACAGCTTATTGTAGTCTAAATGAAAAGTTAAAGAAATTTAAAAAAGTTCAACATATTTAAAATATTATAAAAGAAACAATAAATGAAATACCTGGTTGATGTGTTCCTGTCCAGTCCATGTGAAGCTGCATGTGTCATTGCAGCATAGTACCAGCAGGGGTGAATGATCTGGGTGAGCATTTGGCGGGAATATGGCCGCCGAGCGCTGCGTTTCGTCTGCGTCCGGACACGAGCGAATGGCGTCGAGGAGTACGAGCGCAGCGCGATACGCACGCTCCGCAACCGCCGCCATTAACGGCGTTTGACCCATTCCATCCCTAATAAATGACACATTATTAGTTTGACTGTTAACTTTCTGTAATATATCGTTATTGCATACATTTGTAACTTCTGAATTGTTTTGGTAGTATTATTTCTTCTCTCCTCTCTAAGACTTATAATCTTTGGAACATAATGTTACACTGGTGTGGAGCATGGTTGGTATTGTTTCGACTTTTGATTTTGTTGTATTGTGTAAAAGTATCTGCATGGGTTATAAACTAATGTCTTTTATTTGTATATTTAACTGTATATATTATGTATATATGTATTTTTATAGAATTTTGTAACTTAGTTTTTACCCACTTCCACACTTTTGAATTTTTGCAGACATTAAGAACTGAAGACAATACAATAATTTCATGACTGTCATTGTCTTTACAGCTCATGAACAACGCGTGTCGGGTTCAGTTTTTTTAATCTCTAATATTATTTATAACAATACCTTGTTTAAGATTACAAAGCTTTAGCATACAGAAAATATATAATGCAGTTGTGGAGTGATTCCCGTTACAGTTACAAAATTGCACTGCCGTTTGATTATTAGTCATCCAATGTCCTGTTGGCCTATTTATATATTGTAGAGCAACACCTCAGCTCTATTATGATAGTGGATATTCTTATACCACCCACTACGTGTTCAACTACAAGCTACTTACATATATTTTATATTAATACAGTTACTTACTTAGCAGTGAGTAATTGCATGAGATACGGCTGTAGAACGGAGCTTTCGCACAATGCACGCAATGCAGTCAGAGCGTTTCCACGACGCTCAGCAGGATCCGCACTTACCGCTCCAGGGCCGTTGGCGCCTCCGCCCGATATTTTACTAGGCGAAATAAAATTTAACTGTTATTAAATTCTGCTCCAATTCCAATAAGAGAAACTTCATTTTTAAACATTACACAATTTAAAAAAAATGATGTTAAGAAAGAAAATTTACTTTGAAGCATAAAGAGATTTATTCTGATGTCAAAAGAAACCTGGGCACAATATAGACTTTTTTTCCAAAGTAAGCTAAAAAACTTTAACCAACAGATGACAAATAGTTAAATAACAAATGTTTTATTTTTCATAATAATATTACCTTTTTTATTTGCTACTTTATTTACGATTGATTTAAAATACTTGGAAAAACTTGTTCAAACGGAGCTAATTTTAAATTATATAATATTTGAAGTTTTTAATTAAAACCATTATTTAACCTTAGTTTTACAGTTATTTTTACGATTTAAGGTTTTAAATAAATTCTGTTTTATACGCGAACCAAAGCAACTCACATGCTTATCTACGATATGCAAATGATTCTTCTATTAATACAATATTCTTTGCAAAGTCAGTAAAAATTAATGATATTTAATTTAGTTTAATGACACTTATTTGGCATTAATCAATTATGGGATGAAAAACTTATACATATAAATTTATTTGCTTATTATCCAAAATACATCTGGTACCTTAATACTAACCTGTTGTTGGTAAGTCCCATCAAACTGTCCTCATCACCAGAGGCTTCGAAGGTTTCCGGGGGCCAAGATATGGCTGGCACAGCTTCTTCAGCATTTGCTCCACTACCACTTGTTCCACTAGGTATATTCGGCATTGAAGAGTTTTCTACTATATAGAAAATAAAAAGTGCTATAATACTTGGGCATAAATGTTTTATCTTACAATTGCACTTTGGATTTACTTGAGAATGAATTTTAACGTTAATAATCTACATTTAAACGGAAATAGAACTAATTGTATTAAATTTACAACAACGAATGTTAAAAATCTGAGTATCAATGTGTTTTTAAATGGGGAAGAGCCCTGTTGAATCCACTGTTTTTCTTGGCATCATTTTCGACGCAAAGCTTCAGTGGGGCCCCCATATATCAAAACTAGCAAGCAGACTAAGTTCTGCAGCCTATGCTGTAAAAAAGATTAGTCGTCTCACTAGTGTCGAGACAGCTAGATTAGTTTATTTCAGTTATTTCCATTTTTCATAGCATAATGTCTTATGGGATTTTGCTATGGGGAAATGCGGCTGATTCAGAAACTATTTTTGTTTTACAGAAGAGGGCCATTAGAGCTATTTACAACCTAAAAAAAGTCTCTTAGAGATAAATTTAAAGAAATAAATATATTAACTTTGGCCTCTCAGTATATTTATGAAAATTTAATGTATGTTCACAAAAACAAAGGTAGTTTTAGTAAAAAAAAGTGATGTGCATTCTGTAAACACTAGGAACAAACACAAGCTAGTGATACCAGTTTCTCGACTCCACAGAGTCAGTAATTCATTTTTGGGGCAATGTATACGCTATTACAACAAGGTCCCGGAAAGTGTACAGGCTCTCTCTCTATTAGCAAGTTTAAATGTTTTGTTAAGTTGAAACTGTATAAAAAGGGTTATTATAGTATAAATGAATACATGGTTGATAATAACCCCTGGGAATGAGGTGATCGCTTCCAAGCTGTTTGTAAAATAAATTTTGTACTTATATAGTTTGTACAACCATTATTGTAAAATTTGCTTTAAAAAAAAAGTCCCGCTGGGTTTCTTGCTGGTTCTTCCCAGGACAGAGGCTTTTTTTCGAACCAGTGGTAAAGTAAAAATTACTTTCAATAAGAATTACACAAGTGGTCTATATTGAATAAAAAATTATTCTATTCTATTCTATTCTATTCTAATGTAGGTGCACTTGCATATGCACTCTGTTTTAGTGTGCATAAGCTTGAGCATCAAATATTATGATCAATGACCATTATAATGGAAACTAAACGGGTAAGATTTTGGATAAAAAATAATTTTATTTCACTACATCGGTGAACATATTTAGGTGACTTATATAAATATTAATTTGTTCAATTACGAACTAGATAAGAATAGTTAACGCTACGAATACACCTGCTGTTACGCACGCAAGTGCGCGTGTCAATACTACACATCACATCTATTGCATGTAAGGACATAGATAATATTGATATGTCATTATTTTAACAATTTTATAATAATAAAATAAATAAAATAATTCACGATACACAATAGTGTTGTTAATATACTCACCAATATCAGGTTCCTTATTTGAGGTTGGTGCACACATATGTACACAAGCATGAAGGATATTTCTGTTACCATCACAGCGCTCTTGAAGAATAGATAGTATTTGTTGTTCTGAAACAAGGGGTTGTTTCATCAAATAAAATATTACACATTAAATTACAATCATAACATTTAAAATTAAGCAAAATATTTCATACTTCTTATTTATTTTCATTAGAAACAAAATTTAACTCACTATTGTTATCAGACTCCAGCAAATGTAATAACTGACGCACTCCATCTAGGTCGCAACGTAGGACACGGGGCATCATAAGTTGTGGTTCTGGTACAATTATGATGAGCGCCACCTGTTGATTATTTGTAAACTTTCATGTTTATAATTTTAAATTATATATAAAATAAAACTTAACTAAAGATTACTATCATATTTTTCATTTGTTGTATGATTGCAGATTGGGGTATTTAATGAGGGCTAATATCTGATAATAATCTAATATCTGTATTAGATATACTTTGTAAATAAGGCAATATTTTTAATAAATAATAAATTTTTATAAATTTTCCACAACTTAAGTTTATAAGTAAGATTATAAGTATTTGCGCTGTAAACTCGTTACTGTTACCTAATATCATGTTGTGTGCACATGTTTTGGAGTACCATCCAGATTGTTATTTTGCATTTATTATGTTCAATTGTTCATGTTTTGATGTTATTCTGTTTTGTGTACCTAAATAAATAAATAAATAATTTTCTACTCACCAGATGTCGTTAGTTGACACTGAGGTAAAGTTTTGTTACACAATATCATTTAATTAAGAAGTTAGTTTATAATAAAAGGTTATCAATTTCTAGAGTATTATATTATTAATACACAAAACAATGCCTCAGTTGGTTTGCTCTCATTTTTAACTTTTTTTCAAATTTTCTACTTTTATGAATATCTGTGGTTTGTTTTATTTTTTGCATTAATTGCTTCGATTTTTTTTTATAGAATCGGGTGACAAACGAGCACACAGTCCACCTGATGGTAAGTGGTTACTGTGACCCATAGACATCTTCATTTATCCTCAATAAAGACTCAAAATGCAGATGCATTGTCACCCGTGAGGATTAAGATGGAATGCCTCATTTCCAGTAAAAAGGGTCTCCGGTTCTCTACACTCACCATACGAAACACAGCAGCGTTAAGCTGCTATTTTACGCTGGTATTCTGTGAGAGCGTGGTCCTTCACCGGTCAAGCCGACCCATTTGTGCTACAACTGTATTACTAATATAGCTGCAGCATGGCTCTACCACGTATTCGATCAACAATACCAACTAGATATAGAGTGGGCGCAAAAATACGTCTCGGTAAAATAACAGCGCACTTGAGACGTGAGCTCTATTTAGTTTAGGTCACTTGAAACACAGCCAATGTAAACACGTTTCACAATGTGTATTCAAAAGTTGCAAAAATAATGCCTGAAAAAGCAATTTAACGGCCAGTGTCTTACTTTTGGTAAGTACATGTAGATTAATTTTTAATTTTAAGCTCTAAACTAACAAATGATATCATATTTGAAAGAAAATTACCCACTTTAAACCACCCCTACAAATGTTTTGCTATGGCCAATACACGCGTAACTTTTGTGAATCAGAGCAGTAGATGCATGGAATAGGTTTGTATTGTAATAATTTTTAATAATTTGTTACCAGCACTTTAAATAATGGTAATTGTTACTTTTGTCTGTTTGTTGTAACCTCATTATACTTAGCTTTATTTATTTTTTATTGGCTTTTAAAAAGACAATTGCACATCAAACTCGACTTATTTAAAGGAAATTAATTGAAGTACGCGGATTGAAAAAATCTTTAATGTTGAATCGTTATAAATATTTTGGTTTATTGATTGAACTGAAATAAAGATGTGGAATTTAGTGATACTTTTATTTGTGACATTCAGGGATATAGACACCTTGGCCAGCCGCCGACATTACCTAAATTTGTAAAACAAAAACCGTACTTACAGTTTATTACTTTTTGTGTTAAAATTAAAAGGTAAGTTACAGCCTATACATGTCCCACTGCTGGGCACATGCCTCCCTCATTTCTGAGAGGGTTTTAAGGTAAGGAAGTATCTGCCGCGCTGCCCCAATGCGTGTTCGCGAACTTCACATGTCTTCGAAATATTTTTTTTTATTTCTCAGACATGTATAATAGATGCTCAAAACATAAATAATTTTAACTAAACTTACGACCATATTATAAATTATTTTAGTGTTCAACGCGGCTCCATACCTCCTGTAGCAAAATTCGAAGAAACAAACAGGAACGAAACCTCGCAAGATAATAACGGAAGAAAGTAATTTATTTGTTACAAATTAAGTTAAATTTCATATTAAATGTTATTTAACCTATGTCTTTTCATTTCTAAGTGACAGGAGTAATCTATTGCTTTGTTCCTTTTTTGTGACTAATGATCGTAAGATTTGTAACTTTGTTACTAGGTGCCATGGTTGTAATTAGGTTGAACTTAAAATTGTTTTAATTTTTTGTCTTAGTCCTTTAGTAAACAGCTGTATACATATATTCATACGTACAGCATTAAGCTTTGATTTTGTATGTGAGTCTTTATCTAGTTGGTAATGTTGATCGAAGATTAACTAGTTAATCTTCACAGCTCGGTAGAACAGTGACTAAGCATTTGTTTGATAGATGCGTATTGGTCGAACAGCGTCGAGGCAGTATGTACGAGTATGTGCATACCTGCGACTTGAGCGAGGCGTGGTGCGAGTGCGCGGCGCCGTGCGGCTGCAGCGGCAGCGCGTGCGCGGCGAGCGCGCGCGCCGGCGGCAGGTTGAGCGGCGGCGGCTCGCGCACCATGCCCACGCAGTCGCGCGCGATCGGGTACAGAGCGCCGTTGCCGTCCACCATCATCACCACCGCTTCGCTACCCTGTTGCAACACAACGCAAATAACGATACTGCACGCATTTCACCTAGGGCGGGAGAAGCTCTTCAAACTGGGTACGACACGTCATTTTTATTTTTAAGCGGATAAAACGAAACGTCAAAATCTGCTCCAACACTGTATGATAATGGAGAACGTCGAAACAAAGCATAGTTGACAGTAAATACAACCTTATTGTAATAATAAGGTACCTTTTGTCGAGTTATTTGAAAAATTATTTCAATTAAGAGAAGGTTAAAGTGAGATTATAATAATTACTGAATTTTAAGATAGTGTCTTCTGGAAAGGATGCGCAATACCAACAATTGGTGTCTGCGGAATATTAGCATCCCAAGCGGAAGCCTGTTTTGGCACAGTATTTATGTGTGTAGATATATATATAATTTATTGTTAACCGGTTGTAAATGCGCATGCACTGCTGTGTCAATAAAGTTTATTTTCTTTTTCTCTTTCTGAGACTGAAGTGACTTAAGAGCAAACACAAAGCCACGGATACTTTCAGAATAAATAATTTATAAAGGCCTTATCTAAAAACCATGGGTCTTTTACCATGTGTTGTTAACATAAATAAGTTAACCCTAATAAAGCTAGGTTATAAATTATTTTGTGAGTTCAACTAATTTTGTCTTAGTATTTCAACTATTTTGGATTTTTAATCAGTTGAACTACTAGGAAAGAAAAAGAATTGGAACAGGAAAGCTAAACCAAAACGGTCACATGAGAGTAGCATTGTACACGGACTTATGACGTATAATAAAATAGATGTGGGTGATTTGGCTACTTAGTGTGACTTTCCGTGCTTCCAGCTTAACCTTGACACCTTTATATGTAACAAAATACTCTATAAACGTATTTGACTATCATCCACACCAGACTTCCCACAAGTTTATGGGAAGCCTTGCAAATCAACTATTTATTAACCTAATAATACCAATTATTAAGATCCTACCATACTAACCTCTGCAGCAGTAGCAAGTTGTATTCCATGACCATTAGATTGCCCAAGCAATGCACTGTGATCAGTTGGGAAAGTGCTATCTGTAAGGGCACGAGTCGCACCCACTGCGTATACAGCGTAAGCGAGCGCGCCACCGGGACGACGAACGACGGCATGAACGCCGCGACTGTCCACCTATGAAGGAATTATTGGCATTGAATTGAAGTTTTATTTCTTTGTGGAACTGTGGCATTTCATGTGAACATTTTCATCACTTGGCAGTCCAGCCATTGCAGTCTATTTCATCTGATGATGCTTCGTTTAAAGACAAGACACGTGTTATTATGGACAGTGGGGTGGTCTTTCCTTGTGTAGTGATATTTGGGCTAGTGCTGTTGAGATTAGTGATGACGGTGATAGTGTTATATAATTAAATAATAGGAGGGTGCTCTACAAACTAGGTAAGACACTATATTTTACACATGAATGTTAGCTTATTAATTTTAACATCTTTAATATTTAATTTCAGCAATTTAACACCTAATTCTATTAATTATCTTAAAACACACTTTAGCTTTTACTTATGATGTAAAAAATACACTTACAGCAATAGTGATGACTTGCAATTCTGGGGGTAACGCGACTTTCCTAGGTGAGCGTTGCAAGCAATCTGGACCACGAGAACCTGAAGAACCTCCAGCGCCCCATTTTACTGCTACTAAGTCATCTTTGCGCACTAAGCGGCAATCTTGAAGTAATGTCGTCCAATCATCTGGTGCTGTCGGTGCAATCTCCTTGCCATCTTTGCCCACAGTTGGGAAGCGGACTGCGGCATAAGCTCCGTCCACTTTCAACACGCGACCCAACGGAACGCTCTTTACATCCTCTAAGAACACGACTTCCTTAAGAGGCCATTCTTCTTCGTCACGTTTAGTGCCGTCATTGGAAGAACCTTCTTCACCGCGTACGGTAACACGCTTAGCGCGTTCTGAAATAGTTAATATTTCGTTAGAGTTGGTATAAGTAGCGGCACAAAAGTCTAACGTTATTGCGCATAAGTCGCGCTGATTGGCTTGTGCGTATCGTTCGCAAGCGCTGATTGGCTTTCCAGTCGCATTCGTGCAATTCAATTGGTACGCATCCCCTTCACATTTCGTTCATCGCTAGACCGCGACTTGTAACACAAGGGATTTTTTTATAATATGTAAGGATTTAAAAGTAAATAGAAATGCACAGTCACCAAAATCCATACCTACTGTGTTATTTTATTGTTTTAAAAAATACTTACTGTGTGATGTGCTAGTATCACTGCAAGTAGATGACGCAGGACTTGGCGGTGGTGGCATGTCCAAACGATCAGCCATATCTTTGTTACTGTCTTTACCACCATCTTTTCCACTTCCACCTGATGAAGACGCTTTCACCGACGAAACGGTCAAGGGAGACTGATTCTGATGAAAAGAAAACCAATTGTAATTTAAATATAACAATGAACAAATGTAAGCATTTTTGAGATTAATTTCGTTATTGCTATATAATTATTATAAAAGTAATATAATTTTTAGTAAAGTTTTTCCCAAGGGTTACAATAATTTTTTCATTTACATAGTATAAATTATTAGTACCTGTATATCCCTCTTGTCTTTTTCAGAGACGGAGCGGTCAAGTTGCGGCGGCGGCAAAAGTTTGAAGCGGCACATGTCGGATAAGTTCCACGCAGCGTTTTGTAGTACGCCCACTTTCGGTACTCCAGTAGACATATTAAAACCTATCACAAAAATAATTGACTTAAATTATCAAAAAAACAAAATGCATTTATTGTGTGTACTGTACTGATGATATGTAGTATTGACAGGTCTCTGTCATTTGTGCTACTTGCGTGAAATAATTACCTATAATAACGAAGCGCCTCGGGCTTACATACGCAGTCGGGGCTAGCGCGTTCTAGGCGATTGAATGTTAAAGTTTTCTTCGTTCCTACTATAATTGTTGCGTGGGTGGATGCTTAATGAGCAAAGAAAAGGATACAGATATATAATTTTTTAAGTTACTGAAGGATAATGAAAGGTGAATTTATTTCATTTTTATTTTTGTTAGATAGGTACGTATAGCAAAAAAGAATAATTGGAAGTAGAGACTAGAAATGAGTTTGGGGGGGGGGCTCGAACTTTAGGCATAGTCAGTTTGAATAGTCTATTATCTAGAGGATGTCATGGGGGTCATGGTTGAATAGGGGCAAAAAGTTCTCCTTACACTTTTAGGGGGTCAAAATGGCCAAAAACCAAAAAATTGGGAAATGGCTCGAACTTTAGGCATGGTAAGTTAAAATAGGCTATCATGTAGAGGGTGTCATTGGGTCATGGTTGAATAGGGACAAAAAGTTCTCATTACACTCCTAGGGGGCCAAAAACCAAAAAATGAAAATTCTTATTTCGGCTAGAACTCCGCCTCCTTCGGAGGTTCTTAAACAGTCTTTACTTCCCGCATCCCACTTATTTAACTACAGAATTAACACCTAAGTACTTTAATACAAAACTTAGTTGAAATTTACTTTACTATCAAAGTACCTACTTACATACCTATACTTGTCTTTTGTAATTAAAATATTTTAAGTTATATTAACACATAATACTGAAATTAAAACTGTATACAAAATTTTTAACTAAGTAGAATACAATAACATATCTTTTAGGAATCGTATTTCGGGTTTATTTGTTCTTTACACTATTTACCTATTTCTTCTGGGTCAAGCATCGCGATTCCCGATGAATGGCTTTGCAAGTTGCATGCGTCGGGCATCACAGAACATCTTCCTACATCACGTGACGTAGGAAAGGGAAAAGATGCAAAGTAATACGGACCCTCACGCGCAGTGATAAAGTTTTATTTAGCTTGCGTGCGCGATTTATCTAATTAATAATATTATGTAGGATATTAAAACTTCGGCAAGCAGTCAACATCAAAGAAGTGCAACTTCTGGACGTAGTACTATTATTTATTCTATGGTATTATCCGGATACAAGTGACTTTAGTCCGATAATATTGAACACATACAGCAGAAATTAGACGAAATGTAAACGCATACGTTATTGAGGTCATAAAATGACACACTAAAGGCGTTAAATACCGTCTACGACCTTAGGCGACTGGACTTTTCGAACACAGTACGCATGCGAAGAAGATCGCGCAGAGAATCTATTCAAATAAATAAAATCATCGAATCTATTCAAATAATAAATGCATATGAAAGTATATACGGTACTTGTATCAAAAAAAATAATAAGTTTCTCTGTTTATCCGTCTGTTTGTTCCAGCTAATCTCCGAATTAGTTGGACCGATTTTGACGGGACTTGCACTGGCAGATAGCTGACGTTATAAGGAGTAACTTAGCCTACTTTTATTATAGAAAAAGAATAAGATTTCTGTGCAAAAAAATTATAACACATGAAATCAATCGTAACAAATACCACGCCTACGAAGTCGCGAGGAACAGCTAGGTAGCAACTATATCTATTAGTAATTTGCTACGAAATAAATAATTTTGCATTTAATAGGTAACTAGGTATAAGCGCACAATTGTATGTATGATTGGTAACCATACATCAATCCATTCAGCTTATAAAAGTTTACTGCTGAACATAGGCCTACCCGACAGATTGCGTCGTAAGGGGTGATTTTAGGTTTTTCTTTTAGAGTTTAGAGTAATTGGTTAATTTAAGAATATTTGTACATTAAAAAAAATATTTTCCCAGATTTATCCACTTGTATGTAATCGAAAAGTACAATTATAAAATAAATATATTATTTGATTAGCAGCCGAGCTAGCCAAGTTGACTTTCTATAATCCCTTCATAATGCTAAACTTATAAAAATTAATAGGAATAACATATCCGAAATTTAGCTCACAAGTAATTAATTCTTTATTTATTTAAAAGTGATTTAGTTAATATAAAAATAAACTTGTTATAGATGTAATAAATAGGTTTATTATTACTTTTTATATGCTCGACAAAGGCATATAATATAACGTCATTATTGGAAAAGGTTCGAAAGTCTCTTAAAAATTAACTACTACTTAAAAAAGAAAAACATTTATAATTGGTGTTTATATAAACCTTACGTATAAAGCAAAAATATGAAAACGACAACTTAAACTTTACATACCCAATTCACTGAGTTTATTGATAGTTAGGTTATCAGAGATCCGAAAAGAGGGGGAGGAAGAAATAATAATCGAATACGATTACTTTAATTTTAACTGGGAGGGTGACTAATTGCCCCAAGGAGATGTCGAATTTACCATCCACAAGGGTCTTAATGTCCTCCACCAGACCGAATTTCGGTCACGGCGATCAGTCTCAACGGAGACTAAGCATCGGCGCAGGACAGGATTATAGTGCCCAAGTGTATGTGTAAGCACAGGTGCACTCTCTATTCCCTTACTCTCATAGTCCGATGGGACGGTAAAGCGATACGACCGGAGAGAGATCAGGCGCAGGACCAACGACTTTACGTGCTTTTCGAAACACGGGGGTAAGACACCGCCAACTTCCCGACTCCGGGCAGCTACTGAGAATTTCTTGATGGAAAAATTCAATAACTGATTTTTTTTGGCCCGACTCGGGATTCGAACCCGGGACCTCATGATCAGCAGTCGCACTACTACAATCACTAGACCACGAGGCAGTCACAGAAACACAAGATAGACAAGATCGAGAGTGTGAGCGAAGGTCATACAGGTTTAGGCAGGCAACAACCTTGACACGCCCTTATTAGGTGGTTGATGATGACCGTAGTAAAACCAGAGTAACCAACAAAACCCTACAGTTCAGTAAGTGGTAGTGATAATTGGCTGGCCACATAACTCGACGAACTGAAAACCGATGGGTAAATGGTCTAGAGCCTCGTACTGGTAAGCAGAATCTTCAAATCGTACTGGTAAGCAGAATACTAGATAAATACGCACCAATAGCTCCTGGTTGATACATGGGAGCATTTTTCATAGTGACACTCTGTCCAGCTTGAACATCTTGTGGAGAGGACGAAGAGTGTCCACGCTGCTGTTTGCGAGATCGAGCGCGATGTTTTTCCCATAACCTGGCGCGCTGACCCAATGGCAGTACACCCCTAAGGAAAAAGTTCAAATTGTATTAATTGTATATTTACTTTTTTAAAAGACATAAAAGAAATGCATTAACAAGTAAATTATATTTAATCAATCACGTTGATCTATTATTAATCAGTGACTCTTGTCATTATGTACTTTAAGCAAGTTCCTTATTGCGTTTAGCAAACATCATATTGGTTTTATTACCACAAAATATAGCCAATGACACTAAGGAGATCTAGATGAATTCAACACATTTCAAAATCCGTAACGGCCTTTATATAACGACTTGAAGGAACAGTCAAAGGCTTATATAGTTTGTTCCAATCTAATTTTCTGCAAATGCAAGCAATGTTTTATCATGTTTGGTATTCGGTATTTTCTCTTTATAATGGTTCTTTCTTCTTAGTCAGCCTGTAAAAGCCTCAACTGGTCATTTGCCTCTCCTGTTGAAGGGAGGATTTGCTTTAATTGTCATGCTTGGCACCTGCCAAGGTGTACTAATGTAGAACCTGTATTGAGAATACACCTGTATTATTAATGTAGTCTCAGTACCAGACATCTCGCACCTTTGACGAAGCTACCCATTGACAGTCTAGGTACTTTACGTCTAGCTTAAACAAAATGGTTATATCCATCTGAATCCTCCATCGATCACTAATAAAAAACTAGATAGACAATCAGTGAAAAAAATGTTGTTACCGAAAGAGTGCCCACTCGAATACTAAGTTGCGCTTTTAATTTGTATGTAGATTTGTGAATACAACTTTAGGCAATGGTTAAATTGACATTAATGTAAATTTATTTCAATTAGAATTACGTCAAATCAATTGGCGACAGTTTTTAGAGAACTTTGCATATTCTGTTCTTTTTTGTATGATTTTATTCACAATCTACAGCAATGTTTAGCAATGGACTTTAGGCTGTAATGGTAATGGATGATTGGAAAGATAGTGATCGGCTAAAATACTACGAGGGTGGATTGAAAAGTACTCGGCCTAACCAAGAAAATAAACAAATACTAAATCAGTTATATTTTTATTTTTCTACATAATCACCATCAAGTTCAATACACTTTTGCCACCTCCCCTTCCAAGCATTTAGACCGTTGAAAAAAAATGATTCTTCCTTAGAGTCAAAATATGCGTCTACAGCTGCTTTGACCTCGTCGTTTGTCGAAAATCTTTGACCTCCCAAGTGCTTTTTTAGGTTAGGGAACAGAAAGAAGTCTGATGGTGCCAGATCAGGTGAATACGGCGGATGCGGTAACAGTTCAAAGCCACAGTTGTGAATTTCAGCCATTGACTGTACTGACGTGTGAACACGGGCGTTATCTTGATGAAACAGGACTTTTCTTCTGAGCATTCCTCGACTTTTTTCTTTTATTTCCTCTCGTAAACGACGTAGTAAGGTGCAGTAGTAATCAGAGTTTATATTCTGACCCCTTTCAAGATAATCAATCATAATCACACCTTTCGAGTCCCAGAATACTGAAGCCATCACCTTATTTGCCGACAAAATCGACTTAGCCTTTTTAGGGGTTGGTGAACCAGGTCTTCTCCACTGTTTTGATTGTTGTTTTGTTTCCGGTGTACAGTAATGAACCCATGTTTCGTCCATAGTAACAAAACGATTCAAAAAATCATCTGCATCGGCTTCAAATAACTCCAAACAGTCGCGGAACCCACCTCGCAGACACCTTGTGGAAACCCAACTCGTTGACAATGATGTTTTGAGTTCGTTCATAAGAGATGCCTATAATCTCGGCTATCTCTCTAATTTTTAATCTGCGGTCTCCCATTATCAAATCAAGTACTTTTTTAATATTTTCGTCAGTAGTTGACGTCGAAGGCCTTCCAGAGCGGGGTTCATCTTTCACACTCTCTCTACCACGCTTAAATTCTGCTATCCATTTTTTGACGGATGAATATGACAGAGCACAATCGCCTAATGTACTGACCATGTCATCATGGATGGCTTTTGATGATAGCCCCTTCTTATGGAGGTACTTAATGACGGCACGCTGCTCGATTTGCTCCATTCGCGGAAATGATGTCCGATTACTTTGTTAATAAATTTATAAAATCACAACTAATTATCGCACACGTTTCGAACTTCACACTATGAACTAGTCTGAACTGAACTAAATAATGTGGGTAGATTTGATTTTTAGAATTGAATGGATCTGTGTTAGGCCGAGTACTTTTCAATCCACCCTCGTATTTGGGTGCAATATTTTTGACCTACTCTGTTATTTAATAATAGAATTACAGAAGTAATTTATAATATGCAATAGATAAACGTAAAAAAAAGAGGTGAGGTGACAACGACGACGACTCCAGTGCTGCCTTGCTATGCATTTCAATAATTTCAAAATCAATGATTAATGTATTAATGTAGATCTGTATTTATGTTTAAGTTCACGGCAACAGGATAAAAACGCTATTGATAATGATAAAATTACAAAGTTTGCTATATAATTTTTGAGACTGTGTTATTGTCATCAACCTTTATGATTATTTACTTCCTTAAAGTTGCAATGACCATCACAAAATAATTAAGACTTTGACTGTAACTCTCCCAAATATATTTTCTTTTATTTGTGTGATTATTTTTTATTTAACATCAATACATACCACCAATAAAGTGCTCCAGATTCCAATCTTGCAACAGTGTACAGTGAACAAGCATGCAATGACAGAGCTTTGTCATTGCCAAACTCGGAAAAAGTCTGTAAGGGATGCTCCAAACGAGGAGCACCAGGTGCATGTGCTGAAAGAAAAAATATTTATGACCAACATCGCAAAATGTGAATCGTTAGACCAATGTAAGTTCAAACAGAACTATACTATCAAAGTTATTAATAGTATCAGAATATTATATTTTAAGATATACAAATGAAAAAATGGGAGAGTTCAACTAGTTGTATTATAAATGTATAAAATTTTATGTTAATTGTCATTCCAAATTTTATTTCATCAATTTTCAGTAATTTTGTAACCTAATATTTCACAATTTCACATTAACAAATGTAGTGTTTGAGCATATAAAAAAGGGAATATTATATACATGAAGTGATGGACAAAAAGCTGCACCTAAAAGTTTTTACATTAGAAAAATCAAAATAAAACGGCTTGACGGCTCCGTGGCGTAGTGGCTTAGCAATGAGTTGTAACGCTTAGAGCCGCGGGTTCGAATCCCGCACGAAACAATTATTTGTATGGCCTACAAATAATTGTTCCGGGTCTGGATGTTTGTCCTTGTGCAATATATGTTTGTAAACTGCCTCCACTATACAGGAGAAAATCTAGAGTGGGGGTAACGTTTTTAAAAAAAAAGAAAAAGACAACATGTGTATAGGAATAAGATTGGTTCCAAACGTTCAACTTGAAAAGTGCATATTTAGGTTAATTTGATAACACCTGTGACACAAGCATTTTCATTGTATCCTTAGTAATATGTATAAGAATATTTTATGGCAAGGTTCAAGTATAAATGCAGCATAGTCGAAGTAGTTAGTTGCCACTAGTTCAAGAAATTAGTTTCATCATAAAACTAGCGACACTTTTTTCCTAGTAGTTAAACTGGATATAAACCGTTTTGCAGGTTGAATCACTGTGACACAATAGTTACAACACAACAACTTATAAAATGAAATAATTTATTGAAATTTTATTGTAGCCATATTTATATTAAGTTCTTTTGTCAGTAGTTACTTTAGTATTGGGAAACACTTTATATTATTAAAAATAGGTAAAAATCAGACCTAAAAGCTAAGAGCCAATCCAAAGCCGAGGACATTTTTATTATATATACATATAAATAAAATTGAAGTGTCTGTCTGTAATATTAAAACAACTGGCCTCTATTTGTATACTATTAAGATATAAACATCCATTTTTATAATTTTTGTCTGTGTCTATCTGTCTGTTCAGGTTAATCTTCAGAATGGCTGAACTGATTGTGACGTAATTTTAAGAACACATACACACACACAAATATCCCAATAAGAATACAATATAATATAACAAGGAGTAGTCAGCAATCAACTGAGGAAGAAGAAGGCGTTATTAAGGGACACCGCACTAAAACTCATGACAAAAAATGCTAAATAGATGTTTGAAATAAAGATGCTTAAACTAAAGTATCCATGCTATGTCTCAAACTTAAATTACTCTAAGTAAAATTTAGTACTAATTGAAGTAATATTAACATAAATTGTCTTATAGCCAATTGTATAAAACAATAAACAATATTTAAAGCATATATCTTTACAATTTTAATAATAGTTCTTAAAATATATATATATATGTCCATATACTAGGAACTTACCAATAGACTCATCAAGAAAAGTGGCAATCCTTCCCGCGTCAGTTAGCACTGAGACTCGAATACCCGCGGCACTTATGTTGACGATGCGCTCGCCTGACATCATACCAAGCCAGTTTCCACGTGGATGGTATACGCTATTTGCCCCCGATGACTGCAACAACATTAGCAATTAAAAAAAAGAAAAAATAATATTATTCTTTATATGCACTATAATAATATGTACACTGTAAATATAAATAAATCAATGCACACTTGATTTTCTTCATTTACCAATGCCGGGATATACATACGTCATTGCGCTGATAGGGATGTGAATCAGCCCAACGCCACTGATGTAACTGTCCATGGGTAGAGATGGCAATCAGCTCACTGTATGTAGCCGCAATGTGAGTAAAGCGGATGTTGCTGTCCCAGTATTCCAGATCTTCAGACACCCAGAGAGGAGATGCCGCCATTGCTGAATCTTTCTTCTTGTTCTCGACTTAAAAATTGAATACAATTTAAAAGTATAAGGTATAAATACTAATTATAAATTATATTCATAAAGTAATATTCATAAAAGTGTTGTATTACCTCCATCCTTATCCCACGATGTATCTCGAAGAGCCGACTCAAGCCACCTACGCGGCCCAAAGTACTGGCGCTCACGCCATCTACTAAACTCTGACGGCCGCTCTTGAGTAGAGCTGCTGCTTTCACGGCTGGCTCCAGCACGGCCGCCGCTGCCACCACCACCACCGCCATTACGACTGTATAAATTTTTACATTAAACAGGTGAATTTAATTGATACTTTATTTATATGTCCAGATAACAGACGATGCGCCAAAACATTTTTATAATTCAAAATTCTCATTTACGCTAAACATGATTTTTTAAATACTTTGATTTAAAATCTGTGCACGTGATTACCTGGTTATTTTTGTAGTACTCATTTACATCTGGACATATAAACATACTACACAAAGACTATCTACCAAAAACAACACCCAATCACAAAACAACATAAAATGGAAATTGCGTAAGCTTGTCAGCGTGCTAGAGATTGGGGTTGAGGGCTAATTTACTAAGGGTATTGGAGAAGAGGCCGAGGAGCGTAGCATGACAGGTATACCTTCTGATAGCCGCGTACCCGAAGATATCCTCGGAAAACATCGCATCAGCATCGATAATGACTGAGTGGTCCTGCTGGGTAGCATGAAAGCCGCCATCAAGCAGTGAAATGAGATCTTCTGGTACGTAGCCATCGCCACCTTCGCCGCCTTCCGGTTCTTCACCTTCTTCGTCATCGCGGGACAGTAAGTTGTTCACCGCCAAATTAACGTCCAAGTTTGTACGCTGTAATTTAAAGAGTTCAAATACTATATATTATTATTACAAACTAAAATAAATTACATAAGTCCGATGATTAGCCATTTGGTGGCGGCGCAAATGATCCATTACCCCATATCGTACTGTGGTTGTTGTAAGAACCAACTATGGAATATGTCAGAAAGACTTTATGGCTTATGACAATGGCGGTATAACCAATTTTGGGTATTTTACGCCAGACGTAAAATACCCAGACTGACGAAAGCGAGCAGCGTCAAAGGTATTCTTGATCTTTAATCGCAAATCGACATGTCAATTTTGAAGATTAAAGCATTCTTCTCTACAATGGCACAGTACAGGCAGAAGATATTGATTAAATGAAGATAAAGATTACAATTCTACAATTCTGTGTTTTTGGAAAAAGTATTATTGTGATGTTTAAACTACCTACATAAAACAGCCACTTCGATTTACCTGTAGTTCTCTTATGATAAGACTTCGACTTTTGCCTTGTAGGACAACTTGCGCTTGTGTTACCAAATCTTCTGGCACAAATGGTGCAGGAACTGAAACGACTCGGCCCGAACTAGATGCACCGATAATAACGCCGGTGGCGCGACTTGTAGACCCTAGAAAATTTTAAATAAATAATTATGTTAATTATGCTTCTTTCTAAGCAAATGGTATGTTTAATAAATTAGTCCAAAAGACCAAAACTTAGATATGCCATACCTTGTGAGCTTGGTGCAGCACGAATTGAATTCCTCATTATACGGGCTCTAGTACGTGGTTGTTGCCTTGAACCACAGCCACTACCACTGCCTCCCTGTTTCCCTCCACTTGTTCCCCCACCACCACTGCCACCCCCTCCATTTCCTCCATTCTTGCTAGCATCTGCTTTACTTAAGTCAAGTCTATCTGGGATGATGGAGAAAGCAGCGCGACAAATAGTCCCATCTTCCAGTAAACATGCAATGTGAGCTGGTCCAGCGGCCACGGCGCGCACACCTCGCAATGAGCTAAGCGCTGATGACCCTGGACCTGTCCCAAATCTGTTCCATCGCTCAGCAACTTCTTTCAATCTGAAATATAGTTAAGATCATAAACTAAACTGGCAATTTCTTTATAAAAGAAAAGCCGTTGAGACAGTCGGTGACAATTTGAATAGTGTGTGTTCTTTTTATTCAGGTTTTTCTTAATGTTGTGACCATTTTTGTAGCTTTATGTTGAACTTTCTCGAGTAGATTGATATATTTTAACAGTTATTTATAAGTAAGAACTTCAAATTTGGAACCCATAGTCCATAATAGGTCAAACAATAAGACCTTTAAACGAGCAATCCAAATCTCTGAAACGGCTCCAAGGATTTTTATGACATTTAATATGCAGGGGGGGGGGGAGTATTTCGGGGGCGATAAATCGATCTAACTAGGATTCATTTTTAGAAACTGTTTTCCGTATTTTCAGGCAATGAAAAACTGCTACAATATCATTAGAATACGAACGTAAATTTCGCCACGACCTACAATGTTATAATAGCTCAGGTGGGAAATCGGGCGGTCCCGGAACCAGAAGACCCCGGTCCGAATCCAGGTGTCTCCAGTCCGATTATTTTTTCTTTTGTGGGAAAAGCTATTATTGGGAGCCCTTTATCAACGCATCTAATTTGTATCTAAGTACACTGCAGGCCAAAAGTTTAAGACCACCTTAATTAAAGTAGGAAAATTAAATAGAACTCCAATAAAATATTAAATGTTTAATTAAACTGTTAAATCATCCAATAAAACACTTTTTGGCAATCAATATACTTGAAAAGCGTAAAGAAATATTAACAGTCCAGCTAAATATAGTTAGCTAAACTGATTTTTCATCAAAAAATCTTCCTTTGCATTTTATGACATTTTCACAAATCTCGGCATTGGGGCAATCAATTTGTTGATAGTGTCTTGTGATATATTGCTCCAACTTTCGCACAAAGCATTCCACATTTCTTCTCGCAAAGATGGACCACAATTACGGACGTTCATATCAAGCTCTTCTCACAAAAGTTCATTAGGATTGAGATCTGGGCTCTGAGGAGGCCAAACCATGTTTTTTAACACCCATTGTGCAAGAGCTTCCAAATATCCTCTGCATAATTTTGAGCTATGCTTAGGATCATCGTCCTGTTGGAAAATGAATCCATCTCCAATTAATTGCAATCCCGAAGGAACGGCATTTTGTTCTAAACATTTTTTGTACTCTTCCTTTTTCGTAATTCCGTCAATTTTGATCAAATCGTCAGTTTCTTGGCTAGAAAAGCAATCCCAGACCATAATTGAGTCACCACCATGCTTGATTGTTGGGATTACACAGTCTGTAGTAATTACATTAGTAAAGAAACAGACATTGTGCAAATATTGTTAACCTATTGGCGATGTTTCGGTAAAAAAATAAAAGTCAAATCAATAACTCTTTCTTGATAATCAACTTAAACATAAATGGAAAAATATGAGTTCCTGACAGCTATTGGCAAATAATAATACTTTTTTTTTAAACTGAAAGATAATTTCCAAAAACACGATTTCCAAAGAAAAATACCAAGCAGAGCTCTGTCATGCAGGTACTGTTTTATATAAATTCTTGATATTGAATATAATAGATAATTTGCTCATTTTACTATTCACAGTTAAGCTAATCCCACTTAAGATTTAAATACTACTCGCGACGGATTGAGCAGTAAGGACAGTTTTGAAAGCATACCTCCTTGAAAACTTTAAAATTTTTAACATTGTTCACATTAAAGCTCAAAGTATTCCTGCTCATTACGCTGATAATATGTTGTCAAGTTTCGATAGTGAAAACATATATGCAATTCTTATTTTGGAGTCATGGTTAAAACCATGTATTCTATCTACTTGCTACTTGCCTCCAGATTTCACTTTAATTTGTAATGACCGAACCGAGCGGAGCGGAGGCAGTGTTGCTATTTATTTCAGATCTCATATATCTTATCTTATTCTATTATTCAAGCATCATCAATATCGTAAACTGGAAGTATAGCAGAATTCCTCTTCATCGAAATCCTTCTAAGCCACACAAAATTATTACTTTGAGTCTTTTACAGCCCTTCTCCCACAATGGACAACTGTTCTGTTTTAGACGATCTCTTAGTAAATCTTACACCTATTTATAGTCATACCATAATAATGGGTGATTTTAACACATGTCTACTCAAACAACAACATATCTAAATCTGCTGTTGAGGCAGCCAACTTAAAAGTTTCTTCTACTTCTGCAACATATTTTTTCCTAATTGTGTCCGTTCCCTGCTTGACTTAATGTTTGCATGTTCTCTTAACCATATTGCAAAACATGGTCAATGTAAAGCTGATGCCTTCTCTTATCATAACCTCATCTTCTTGTCTTATAATATCAGATCCCCTACAGCTAAATCGAGGACTTTTTTAGCGTAACTGTAGTGATTCGAACTTACAACCACTTCATCGTGATGCTTTGAAGAGATTGGAATTTGGTTGTGGATGCTCCTACTTTTGACGAACAAGTATCCTTATTCAATTCCTTTTTAAATCAGCTATAGGACATTCATGCTCCTGTTTGACCGGTGCGGATTAAGCATCCTCCATCTCCATGGCTGAATGACGAAATAAAACAAAGAGAAGGCTGGCATACCAGAAACGCCCTACACATCAGTGACTGGCCGCTACTCAAGGCAGATAAGCATAGATCATATCCCAACCCTGATGAAAGAACGACGCTGTCTCGCATGTGTATATGGGACGGTATACATTAAATTCCAGGGTCGTGGGGGTAAATTCTTTGATACTCCACCAAGCAAAGGGGCAGATAACAACTCGGAAGTCATGGATACCGGAGCCAAGGTTACAGGTACAGCCGAATCACTGGATGCCAAGTCCAGTAAAAAAAACGGCCTGCACAACTAAGCCAAGGCTCCCAGTACAGATCTGACTCAGCGGCAGCTCACTGAGTGACGAAGAGGACTTTGCCGTCCAATTCTGACTCGGTAGCTAACGATGAAACCCGAGATCTGCTGGCAGGCTTATTTTTGGGAGGGGATGGGGAGGACGCGATCAATGATGGCGTGCCCTTCGTCCAGAACTAGCCTAGTGCCGTCCAACCTCCACCACGGCGAAACTGCGTCGATTCAACTACGCAAGTGGTTGGAGGCTCAAAAGACGGCCATAACTTTAATCCAGGAGACGTGGGTTGGGGCTGGTAAAAATCAAAGGCCTAAACAACCTAAAAGGTAAACTAATCGACAACTCTGAGCACGACAACCCTTAGAGCGAGTATTTACACTACTAAAGATATCTGTGCACAACCATTAATAGATCACTCCACCAAGACATGCTGCGGTAAAGCAACCGTCATGGGGTAAAGAACTAGATAGTAAAAGGTAAACTTAAAAAGGTAAGAAAAGCACTCAATAGGGCCATGAATACCTCAATAGATGAAAACTGGCTACTATACAAGAAAGCTCAGTCTGAAAACAAAAAATTTATCAGATATCGACGCTCGACAGGGTGGCGTAAATTCTGTGGTAACATAAAATTTGTGAACAAACAAATCTGATAAAGACAATCCTGAGACAGAGCACGCCGGGATCCATCTCTCTAAAGAAACCCAACGGAAGCTACTCAACATTGCCGGATGAACCCAACTCATCCTAATTTTAATACACTTCCCAGGTTGCTGCATAAATCAGGGGATAAACTGGCATGAAGATACACTGACACCAACAGCAGAAGACTGGAATTTAGTTCAGAGAGTGGTAATTCTGCCTTATAGAGGAGGAAACATTCACAGTTTCCTCCCCTGTAAGGCGGCAGGTCCTGACGGCATATTCCCAGCATTCCTACAGTAGGGGATAAAGCCCTAACAGTCAGACTTATTGCCATAATGAGAGCCTGTCTGGTTCTTAAATATGTTCCTAGGGTATGGAGAGAAGTGAAAGTCACATTCATACCCAAATCAGGTAAGAGCAACTATACAGACCCTAAATCCTACAGACCCATTAGCCTCACATCCTTTCTCTTAAAGACGATGGAGAGGATGTGTGAAAGGGAATTAAAGGGGGTCGGCGCTAATGTACTTACTGCAACACGACAAACAACACACTTACTGCTTAAGTAAATCGACAGAATCTGAACTACACCAGTAATAACAAAGATTTAAGAGGCCATCCAAAACAAAGTAACATGTCTAGGTTCCTTCATAAATAAATATAGAGGGTGCTTTTGACCTTAAAGCCTTAAATTTTTGTAAATTAATACCTAAGACTAAATGAATGAATACCAATGATAATTTGATCATCAAAAACTTGCAATAAAAATATTTTTTTGATATTTGGTTGTAATTTTCTACTTTTCCTTTTAATAATAACTCTTTATCAATAAATTATCCCATCCATTGAATTTCACTATAGTTTTCACTGTACTGCACCAGTCCTTTTTTAATTATCATTGTTTACTTTATTTACCTACTTACTATTATTGCAATTTGCTATTAAAAACAAAATTAAACAAAACGCTAACAAACTAAATTGTCTTTAAATTAATTGAAACAAAAAGTAATAAATATTTTTGGTTTGCAGCAGGGTTGGAATGAATAAATCATTTTGATTTATATCAAATGATGTTTTCAATAAAAATCAATGATTTAATCAAAATTGTATCCAATATTTTATGCTGAACTTGTGGTTTGAAATTATCATATTAAATAAATTATTTGCCGTTAAATCTTTTGAAGAATAGAATAGAATAGAATAATTTTTTATTCAATATTGATTATTACATAATACTTATTGAAAGTCATTTTTTATTTACCACTGGTTCGGAAAACACCCCAGTCCTGGGAAGAACCAGCAAGAAACCCAGTGGGACTTTTTTTTTTAAACATATTTCACTTAACAATAACTTTGTTTATACAATTTTTAAATGATTTTTCATAGAACCAGCATGATAGCAATCACCTTATTCCCAGGGATTATTTTCATTCATGAATTCCTTGATATTATAATAACCCTTTTTGTACAGTTTTTCTTTAATAAAACTTTTAAACT